GAATATGATTAGTATTAACTTTCTAATTAAGTTGCTGCAGTTGGAAAGCTTTGGAAAAAATCCATTTAATTTTAACAGTAGATGTATACTTAATTATTTAAACCATATAAAAAATGAAGGTTCACGTAGTTTAAATATATTTTGGAAAATTATTGTCCAATTATTTGTCCAAAAAGTTGAAACAATGGAATATAGTTGAAACCAGCTACAAAAACAAATGGATAACAATGGAAGAGCAGCAAACGTTACATCAGGTGTTCAAGATGAGTTCTATTTTAGTTTGATTAAAGTTACAAGGCAGCCCGTTTAGCTGTAAACTAGACATTATTGAAGTAGATAAAGATATGTTAAAATGAAAAAAAAGTTCGAAAAACGATGTTCTTTATTTTAGGGATACAATGTAGGTCATTGTCGCGGAGATCTATTCTGTTTAAATACATGATTGTTGATATAAAAATACAAACCTCCATCTTATGTCTACCAAAAAGCACGCTCATAACCTAGATGTTCTACATGGAATGTTCCCGCAGCAATCTCTATCACATATGATGACTTTTATAGTTATTTTCCATTTTCAATAGTAAATAACAAACTGTATGAATTATTTTCATATATAATGCCTAATTTTTTTGTTACTTATAAATCCGTAAGGTATATTATTGATAAATTAAACAGAAAAAGATTTCTACTTTTCTACTTTTCTTATATTTAATGATAATAATAATTTCATCTATTTTTAAAAATGTCTTTTTTTGTAAATATATTAACTTTTATTAAAATCAAAGTAGAAGGCTAAATAATTAAAATGAAAAAAAATGATTGTGATTTTCAGAATCAGCATGAAAAATTAATTAAAAAAAATTGGTTAAACTATAAAAAATCTAAAAAAAGGTGATTATGGACCCCCCCCCCCCTACTAATATCTATTTGTATATGCATGGGTGCCCGCAGAATTTTTTGATGTTTCAATTACAACACTTTCACGCACTGTGCAAACTGTATGTTCATAACAATGCCAAATCAGGAGGCCTAGCAAAAAACTAGGATGGTGGAGGCAGTATATATATATATATATATATATATATATATATATATATATATATATATATATATATATATATATATATATATATATATATATATATATTATACATATATATATATATATATATATATATATATATATACATATATATATATATATATATATATATATATATATATATATATATATATATATATATATATATATATATATATATATATATATATATATATATATACACACACACAAGGCCGGCGCGATAGGGGGATGTAAGGGGATGTCACCCCCCTGCCCCCATCAATGATTTTTAGTCGGCAAACTAGACCCTTTTAGACTAGTTAGTCGGCAAATGTCGACCCTTTCGATATAGGTTAGACAGTCGGCAATTGTCGTCATGGCAGTCGGCAAATTTTGGAAAACGAGAACCTTTTTTTTTTTTTTTAGTCGGCATTGGCACCCCCCCCCCCCCCACGTGACACCTACTCGTATAAGATTTTTACTCCCGTGTTTTTTTAAAACTATCGTATAAAGTTTTTACCGCGGAGTAAAAAAAAGCATATGAGATTTTTACTCTCACTATTTTATTTTTACTCTCAAGTTGTTATTAGCGGAATTGCATATCAATAAAACATGCACTCTAGATTTGCAGACATTTTTAGTTACTTAAAATACCAAATATATCCAAAAGAAGTTTTAAATAAAGGCGATAAAGCCAATTTTAGAAGACAAACTAAGCCATTTATAGTTGATAATAATGAGTTATATCATTTAAATAAAGCTGCAAAGGTATGCTATTATTTCAAAATGTTTTAATAGTTTTGCCATTTTGCAACTAGAATCTAGTCACCAAATAAACACGAATATTTACAAATAATTTATTTAATAAATAATGAAAATTAATTTAGTTTTGATTCTCATTATATTGATGGTTTACAGCTTCTTTTTTTTATAGAGAAAAGTTATTTGGAGTAGAGATGAACAACAAAACATAATAAAGTTTGTTCATGAAGAAAACGATGTCTCTGTTGAGTCTAAAGCTTTATTTGGTCATACAGGTATTAATAACACAACCTATCACATTCAAAGTAGATTTTTCTGGTATGGAATGATAAAAGATATTACAACTTATGTTTCCAAATGTGACCAATGCCAAAAGTCAAAGAACAGAAAACTTCAGTCGAAACCATTGCTGCAAAATATTTCAATTCCTAAAGGCAATATGAAGCAGGTAGGAATCGATTTAACACAGCTACCAGAAGTTAACGGTTGCAAATATCTGGTTGTATTAATCGACTACTTCAGTAAATGGGTTGAAGCAGAAGCACTTACCGATAAAACTGCTAAAGCTGTGGCTTTTTTTTTGTATAAACAGATTTGTCGACATGGCTGTTTTGAAATTCAAATAAATGACCAAGGTCGTGAGTTTGTAAATGAAATTTCTAAAGAACTTTACTCAAAAACAGGAACAATTCAAAGAATTACAAGTGCATATCATCCTCATGCTAATGGATTAGTAGAGAGACAAAATCAAACAATTAAACATATATTAGTAAAAGTGCTTGATGAGGCTGCTTTGGAATGGCCATACATTATTGATAGTGTTTTGTTTTCTTTAAGAGTTAGAAAGCACAAATCTACTGGGTTTTCACCGTTTGCATTGCTTTACCAAAGGGAAGCAGTTCTTCCTATTGATATAGATTGCAATTTAATTGACTTTAATGATAGTAACGCTCTTAGCAATGATGATTTCTCTAACAAAAAAATAGTTTCAGATACCTTTCATGCAATGAATAAAATGAAGAATAAAATTTTTGACGATGCTTATAAAAATATTGAAAAATCTCAAAAAAGACAAAAACATGATTACGACAAGAGAATTGCACCAAATAATGAAATTAGCATAAATAAAAAAGTGTTACTAAGAAATAGCAGACGTGATGATAGAAAAGGTGGTAAACTTGTAAAGCCTTGGACTGGACCATACATTGTAACTTCTATTTCTAGCACTAATAACTGCACTTTAAAAAATCTAAAGCATCAAATTTTGAAAACAAAGTACAACTTGACAAAGTTATGTTTATATAATGAAAAAATAACTAATGATGTACAAGAAATCACATTTGATGAAATTAATATGCAAATTTCTAATGATAAGATCGGAAAATATGCAACTATTGAAATGAGAACTTCTATTTCTGAAAAATTTGGAATTGGTATTACCAAAAATATTTTTATTGCAGATATTAATCTACTTTCACGTCCGAAACAAATTCACAAAACCATAGGCGATGGTAATTGCTTTTTTAGGGCAATATCATATATCATTACAGGCAGTGAATGCAGTTATGAAATTATAAGAGAAAAAGTTGTTAAACATATGTGTACTCGTATTAATAATGAAATGACTTTATATATGAATCAATCAATAATAACGTATCTAAATGAAAGTGGTATGAGTGATAACACAACTTGAGCAACTGATACAGAAATAATTGGGTGTGCCTCGTTCATGGGTATTGATATAAAAGTATGTAGCAAATATGGAGAGAAGTTGAAATGGCTGACTTACCCATGTAGTTTAACAATTACACAGCTTAGTGAACATGCTATATTCCTTGACAATTCAACTGCAAGTCACTTTAATGTTGTACTGTTGTAAAATATTATCAAAAAAAACAATAATTTATAAATTATCTTCTTTTCATAATTTTTAGACATTTTTTAAATATATATTTTTTTTAAGTCTGTAAACAAATGTTTTAAAAACGTAAAAATAAGTGAATTTACAACGGTATGTAGGAGAAGGAATAAAAATGTTTGTCTTTTTAAATTTGGTGGCAATACTTTTTCATATGCCTGACTGATTCCACATTAGTAAAGCGAAAGCAAAGAATCCAGAAATAAACCTATATAACAATATGAGTTTAATTAAAAAAAAAATCTTAACCCTATCTGATACATAGGGTAACCTGCGATAAATTTTTGTTTTTTTTGCAGATGTGAATTGTTAAATAAAAAAAGTCAGAAAGAAATAAAAAGCTGCGATTTTCAGATTCTGCAGGTTAGCAAGGTAAACTTGTTGTTTAGAAAACTCCTTTTCTAACAAGTTTGCAACAAGTACCATTGCCTAATAGTAAAATAAAACAATTTTGGATATTCCCCTTCATTTTTTAATACAACAAGTACACATTTTGATCAAACAAGTACTTGCATATTCTATGATCTTTAAGTTTAAAAAAGATTATCTGTAAAATTTATATTTTCACCGTTTATTTAAAATAATATAAGAAATTTTACTCCCACTAAAATGTAGAAAATAAATTAAGTTAAAAAAGTTTATTAAAAGCTTAACTTTTATAAAATATATTAATTAAGCACTATATTAACATAACGGTAAAAATATCTAATTTGAGTAAAAATCTCATAAAGGGAGTAAAAATTTCATACGCATTTTTTACTCCGCGGCACAAATTTCATATAAAATTTTTTTAGGGGAGTAAAAAAATAATGGGAGTAAAAATCTCATACTACACCGGCCCTATATATATATATATATATATATATATATATATATATATATATATTATATATATATATATATATATATATATATATATATATATATATATATATATATATCAAACACTTTTCATTTACCGATTCCTCCGGTTGTACCCAATGCTATATATATATATATATATATATATATATATATATATATATATATATATATATATATATATATATATATATATATATATATATAGCATTGGGTACAACCGGAGGAATCGGTAAATGAAAAGTGTTTGATTTGGATACTATAGAAGCAAAGAAATTAAAAAATTCCTTTGCTTTTTTAATTTTTTTGCTTCTATAGTAGTTTTTTTTTTTTACTTAATTTTGTTTACAAATTATTACTTACGGATATAGCAGTAAAATTTTTGTTTTCTTTTCATGTAAACTTTCATGTAGGTTTTACTTGGTTCTTTTAAAATGGCGGTTAACGCAGCGCATGTTAAACAAGTTTTTGTCCATCCTGTTGCTCTTTTTGCAATTGTTGACAGTTATGAACGAAGAAGCGAAGATGCAAAAAGAGTTGTTGGTACGCTTTTGGGTACTATTTCAAACAACTTTGTTGAAATAAAAAATTGCTTTACCGTCCCTCATGTAGAAACTCAAGTTGAAGTGAGTTTAGTGTATTTATTATTTTGATTAATTTATTCATTTTAGGTTCTTTGTTTGTTTCCAATTTTGTTTGTTTTTGTTCTGATTTTATCAAAATAAATTTTCATTATGCAACTGAAATAAAACCTTTCTTTTCAAACAAATTTTTCTTTTAATTATAATAATATCCCAAAATGTTTTAATTTAGTAATGATTATATTTCAGGTTAAGAAATGTTTCTAAATAATGCTTTGTTAATAAGTTTAATGTAAAAATTTAAAATCTATTAATATTCAAAATAAAGAGTAGCCTACTTGACTTAAGTAAAAGTAAATAGTAGGGTTAAATTATTTTATTCATAAAGTTAGTTTTATATGCTTATGTGAAAGGTTTTTATTCAACTTTTTTATTAAAGAATTTTTTTGCATCATCGATTGTAATTTTAACTAAAATTGATAAAATGGGTAAAGCCAAAATTTCTATTAAAATTTTCTGACCACTAAACAGTATAATTTTTGTTGCAAGCATTTATATATATAATTATATAAAGACTATAATTGTGCATTTTGCTAACTGCAAAAATGATGATAATTTTGATATCAACGACAAGCAATAGCAAGCTACTGATTGTGCAACATTTTAACATCGTATATTTTTTTATTGCCCACTCTTAATAACAGACCTTAACAAGGTAAAACAAAGTATGTAACGTTAAGTCAAGTCTAGTCATTGCAAAATTAAATCAACAGCAGGTTTTGCATTAGCATTACAAAGTTTGCAATTTTTTAGGATATCAAAAATTGATCTCAAATAACAAAGAGATGAACTCTTAAAATATAAATTTAATTATATTAATTTATATTTTAAGAATTTTTAATGTTTTTTGCATTACTGCATTATTTTTCATACTTCAGTATAAAATCTTCTTTGTTAGCTCTTTATGATTTTGTGATTGTCAAATAAAAAAATTATTCAAATGAAATCTAGCTAATTCAGAAGAGAAATTTTAGTGACAATTATGTTTAAAAATATGCTGATGAAACTTATTTTTTGCATGTTGCGTCACTAAACTTAGGTTTTATTTATTTAATTTTCTGAATTATAGAAAACTTTAAGTTGATAAAATCTCTGTTAGATACAAAAAAAAAGCCATATATATATATATATATATATATATATATATATATATATATATATATATATATATCAGCGTAGAAATCAACAGGCAGTCAACGATCAATGGCCGCCCGAAATGACTGAAATTGCTGTTTTGACCTCTCAAAAAAAAATCTAGCCGGTCAAGGTTGACCGGTTGAAAAATCAGAGTTAGTCAGAAAAATCTTTTGTTAAACCCAATTTTAATTTTTTTAAATTTCATAACACCGTAAAACTTTGATAAAGCATCTAAAACAATTTTATTGCTTATATGCTACTTTTTAAAGTAGAAATAATTGATAAAATTGCTTTTATTCACTTCGTTAAAACGAAGAAAATTAAAATTTGCATCGCTGCAACGTGAAATTCGTCATCGTTTATTAATACTCGCTAATGCTTCGACGAGTATTATATATGGCGTAAACTATATATTAATTTTTTTGCTTCAGTTATTGAGATCAATTTTATTGAGTGTTTTTTTCCTTAACTGATTTAAGTTCTTATTTTATTATTATTTTAATATTAATATAATTAATATAATATACAATAATTGATGATTTTAGCTAAGCACTAAATTTATTTTTGCTCTCTCTATATCTTTTTATTTATTTTTCTCATAATTTTTTGTTGCAAATGCATTTAACAAATGACTTTTTTTTTCTTCTTATTTTAAGTTTAATTTATTCATAGTCAATAAAATTTTAAATTATTAAGAAAGAGCTGCACACCAGGCCGCTCTGTGATGAAAATACAGTTTTTATATTTCAATTAAGTTTATATTTCTGATGTCGGCGAAAAGAAAATTTGTATTTGTAATTTTCGATGTTGTTTGAATTCCTGCATTTTAGGTCAAAGAATTGTCAAACGCTTTGAGTTTTCTGTGTTGTCAAGTTTCTTCACTGGGAATGTGAACAATATGTTAGATGCTTGGCATAGTTTAGTTGATTATACTGTCAAATATTTGGCACCAGATAAAACTGAGTACCATAAAGTATGGTATCAAATTTTTTTTTCTGAGTACTATGAAAAAAGATATGAGTCCAGTTCTTCTTCTTGTTGAATTGTTTTTTGTATTGCCTGTTTCGAATGGAAAAGTTGAGCGTCTTTTTTCTCTTCTGAATAGAATTAAATCTGACACAAAAAATTGATTAACCGAAAAACGGCTAAATAATTTAATTCGGATATGCACAGATGAAACAAACAGTGACAATTTGATGTAAATACTGCCATTGAGTTATGGGCCGAAGATGCGTTGCGAAGGCCTACACAAGAAAACACAAAAATTTACTCAAAAAAACTATAAAAACATTAGTTGATTTGGAATCGTCATCAGACGAAACCTTAGATTTAAAATCGTCTTCCGAAGAAACTTTAGATTATGAATCAGACAAAATGTATCTTTAAAAATATATTTTTAAGTTACCAAAAACTGTCTGAAAAGAAACATGCATTTGTTAATTTTAAATCAAGTCTTTATTTTATTTACATGTCATGAAGAATAATTACTGAAATAAAAATTTTAACAAAGAAAAAAAAAATTTGACCGCCAAAAAAAAAAATTTGACCGTCAGTTTTTTGTATTAGCCGGTCAATTTGACCGCTTTCGTTTGATTTCTTAATTCCCACGCTGATATATATATATATATATATGTATATGTATGTGTATATATATATATATATATATATATATATATATATATATATATATACATATATATATATATATATGTATATATATGTGTATATATGTGTATATATTTATATATATATATATATATATATATATATATATATATATATATATATATATATATATATATATATATATATATATATATAAATATATAAATATATAAATATATATATATATATATATATATATATATATATATATATATATATATATATATATATATATATATATATATATATATATATATATATATATATATATATATATATATATATATATATATAGAAAGAGAGAGAGAGAGAGAGAGAGAGAGTATATGATTTATAATTATTTATGATTTATATCAAGGTTGCATTTGATAAAGAGTATGCAAGTTCAATGAGAGAACTATATAAATGCGCTTCACCTTCTGAAGAAGTAGTTGGCTGGTATTTTTTTTTATAAAACTTTCAAAATTAAAAGTTCATTAAAAAAACATTTTTTATTCCTTTTTTTTTTTAAGATATATATATATATATATATATATATATATATATATATATATATATATATATATATATATATATATATATCAGGGCTCGAATTAAGTGATCACGAATTGCGATATCTGGAAATGCTTCCGGTCTTTAAAATTTTAGCTTTTTAAAAACCGTATAACTGTTTTGATCACTAAACTCATTAAGTATCATTTAATAAAAAATATTTAAGTCAATTATGATACAAATTCTTAACGTAAAATCACAATTATTTTTATTATTATTAAAGATTATAATTTAAACTTTAACATTTGAATTTGTTTTTTAAAACATCAGATAAAACTAGAAAAATAAAGCACGATAAAGTACGATATAAATATTAAAAAACAAGCGCTCACAACAATCTAAAGGACTTTAACAGTGATAGAATATTTTAAATAAAAGAAATTGTTAATTAAGATATAAAATACTTTTATATGTTATTTAAATCTCATTCAATATTTTCTTATAAATTTAACGCTTGTAACTTTAGCTGATACGAATATAAAATTAAAAGACGGAGGAGTTAATATAGAAAAACTAATTTAAACTTTTTAATAGCTACTTCAAAACAAAAAAAAAGAAACTCTAATAAGATATTTTAAAAAAATATATTTTATAATTTTTTTCTTGTTAAATAATTAAATTCTAATTTAAAACATTTGAATTTTTAAATAATTCCATAAACTGTCCCCTAAATAAAAATCTAAAATAACGTTTTATATAATGCGCAAGTAGCTTTAGCATACTTTTTAATTGGTTGTTTTTTTATACAAAGTTTTATACAAAGCGCAATTAGCTTAAGCGTAGTTTTTCATTGGTTGATTTTTAAATTACCGCGAAAGTTTATCGGACCTTTAATAATAATAATTTTTGTCTTGCAACTTTTTTTTATTTATAATACTTAAATTACATATTATTAATTATTGTTTAAAAAACAATAACTAATAATATGTAAATTTTGACTGTTATTATTTTTGCAGTAGTAAATTTATTGTTTTGCTTTTTCATAAATTTTTGCAATACGATAAACTAACCGTTTCATTAAAATAGCGTTTACGGTTTAAAAAAAAAAAAAAATTAATGACCACAGATATTTCCGGATATTGCAATTCGCAATCACTTAATTCGAGCCCTGTATATATATATATATATATATATATATATATATATATATATATATATATATATATATATATATATATATATATATATATATATATATATATATATATATATATATATATATATATATATATATATATATAAAAGTTAGATAAACATATAGGTTTGCCACAAGTAATGAAGTAACTGGCCATTCAACATTAATTCATGAGTACTATGCAATTGAATGTGATAACCCAATCCATCTTACAGTTGATACTCAACTTAAAACTGGAAGAATGTCTGTAAAAGCATACACAAGGTAATAAAACTTACTTTTAAAATAGGAGTAAAAATATAAATGTAGTTATTAAAAGTAAATATAGGTCGCCTCAACCTTGGAGATTATGTTTATAATCAGTGAAGAACCCAGAAGTGTTTTAGTACTGTTTTACCGGTATGGGCGCCCAAAAATTATCTTTATTTTTAATTTTTCTTTTGATTTTTTATAAAAAATAGAAGAAAAAAAATTAGTTTTAAATGCAGTAGTATATAAATAATTCTCAGTTTAATTTAGCTACCTCATTTTTTCTTCAGGAAAATAAAAAGAATTAAAAAGAAATTTTTACATAACTACGCTTTTTTACATAACTACGTGAGTAATTTGCCTTCGGTTATTAACTGGACATAACTTTTAAAAAAATAAAAGTCATTAAGAAACTTAATTTTAAAATCAAGTTGCTAAATTTTTTAACAATTGAATGTATATAAGATTTGCTTTTTTGAAAGTTAAAGCATTTTTAAATATCCATTCAGCGTGAGGTTAATTTTTCTTTTTGGCAATTAAGAGTAAACTGCTTTTAATAATAAATGAACAAAAGTAAAAAAAATAAGTCCTTACAACTATCGCGCAAATTTAATTTTTAAATGAATGAACTTTTGATCTTTAGCTTGCTATTTTAGTTAAGGTAAGGAAAAGGAAAAAACAAAGTATAATCTTTTTCAGACAGTTTTTTTTCCTTTCAATATTCTTTTTAAAATAATAAAAAAAAAAGGTTTTAATAACTTAATAAAAGTTTTATTTAGATCTGTTTAAAATAACCCATGTAAATGTAATTTATTTATTCAAATGTAATATATTAATTAATTAAATATATATTTTGTTTCAAATATGTTTTTAAAAATATAATATGGTTTTTAATCAAAATAATAAAATATTTTTTAAATTATGTTTACTGTAATTATTTTAAAAACTCTCGGGCGGACAAAGAATAAGGCAAGTTCCCATGACACGCTTTGATTATATTTAATATAGACTAAAATAGTAAGGTTTTTTGTTGCAAGAAGTCTTACAAGAACAAATTACATGAGTAAAACGTGGAAGTTCCCAATCAGCACAATGCTGATTTTCAAACACTGAAAACTAAATTATGAATGGATTTTTTTTTAGAAAAAAGGTGGAGGATCCAATTTTATAACGTCTTTTTTAATTGGGGGGGGGGGTTATCTAAAAAAAACTTACCTTTTCTTTTTTTTCTTTTTTTTAAATTTACTTCTTTTTAAACTTCATAATCTAACTTTTTTTTTTTTTAACTCATTTTTTTATATTTTTTGAGAGTATTCAAATGTTGCTAAAGCAGACACTATTTTACTATGTTTGAATTTTGCAATAATACAACGTTTACAACATAGGCCCAATGTGTTGTGTTGCTTGACTAGTAAAATTCTCAAATCCTACAGAACACCATCATTTTCATATTTTGTATTGTACACTCACAAATAGAATTAGTACCTTTTGGAACAGTAAAGATGCACCACTTAGGTTGACTAATGCAAATATTGGAAAATCCAATTTTATTGTCTGGACCTTTGGGCTCTGACAGGCCTGGTGTGTGGTAGTATGTTCTTTCTGATCACTTATATAATTTGTTTTGTTTTACAATTGGACCACAATTGTATAGATTTTTGACAGTTTAAGCATTTCAGAAAATGTACTGAAAATAGCTGTTTTAATTACTTTAAGGGTTTTCCATTAAGTAATTAAATGGAGGTATCAGGTTTGGGCAGGAATGGCTTTCAATCGCATACTGTAACTGACCATGCTTATATATTTTTTTCTTTACAATTTAACCTTGGCTTTTTTGATGTTTTAACAATTTAAATACAATGAAAAAGTTGTTACATTATGAATAACTTTTGATTGCTGATCTTTTCTAAAGTTTTAATTCTACATAAAAGCTTAAAATAAAATAAAAAGTTAATTATGATGATCATTTGAAATAAATTTTGTGTCAATTAACAAAAAATATTATATTTAAATTTTTTAGTTTTGTAGGCATTCAAATTTTATGATAAATTTAAACGTTTGAAAATAATTTATCCATGTCTTTTAAAATATTTTTTAAAAGATTATTTTTTTAAGTTAATTTAAATTAAAAGTTAAATCCTCCCAATGAAATCATTTAATTTTTTTGTTTCTATTTTTACAAAGAATTGTTTAAGAGCTTTTTTAAAAAACTTGATTTACTAATTAGAGTATGAAATTCTTAAAAATTATTAATTTAAAAAGACTACGTTTTTGTTTTGTTTTGTTTTGTAACTTTTGGGAAAAAGTGTTTATACAATTTAAAAATATAACATTTTTTTCTTTTCAATAATTTCACTTTTCAATAATTTAAATAAAATTTGTTGATTTATTAAGCAATCATTAGAGTTGAAAACTTTTTCTGCTTTTTAATAAGACATTTCAAAAGATAAGATTTTAAGTAATTTTTTCTATTTAAAAAAAAAACTGTTTAAAAAATCAATATTTTATGTAACATATGTATGTCAAATTGAGTAAAAGTTTTTTTTAGTTAATTTGACATACCTATGGTATAGAGAAGCAGAGAGGGTTGATTTAGTAATAAATAATGCATTCATACGCAGATGGGGTTTGTTGAAAACATACAGTTGCGTACAAGGAGGGAGGGAGGGGTGGAGGTTTCAAATCGGTGGTTTTACTGTGTACATATTAATGGATGTCCACTTATTTAAAAAATATTGTAAAAAATGTTTTGAACTTAATCATTCCTATCATAATTTTAAGTAACTTGAAAAAAAATATTTAAATGAGTATATATTCAAATAAAAATATTGAAATAAAATACTAAAAATATATAATATTAAAAAAATATATTCAAATTAAAACACAAAAAAATATTTTCAAATCTTTAGTTTTAATATAAAAAATGCATGTTTAAATCAATAGAAAAAATGTTATTTAATATTTTCAACAGTAATTTGGATAAAATATGTTTATTTTAAACAATCCTTAGAAATAATTTGTTATTTTATTTAAGAGCCTTCACATAATATAGAAAAAAACTTTAGTGGTTTTGGTTCCAATTTATTCTTAGCACAATTAAAAATAGTTTTTTTCAGCGCATTTCAGAAATGTTTAAATTGTCAAAACATCTAAACAACCATGGTCAATGTGAACTTCAATAATATTTGGTGCTGCAAGATTTGGTTTAGCGATAAAACTCTCACAAGTTTCTTTTTATTTGCTTTTTCTACTTGCTGTATTCTTTCTGTATAAGTGAGGGCTTAATTTATTTTACGTAAATAAACTTTTATGTTCGGGTAATGGTCTTGGCCATACGGGATATATAGCATTATTAGTTTAGTATTAACATAATATGTTAATATTAAACTAATAATGCTATGCTGTATTTATTAATAACTAATCATAGTATGATAGTATGGTTAATACTTGGTCTTGCTCCCAATACATTTAAAAGTAAAAAATTCTATAAACTGAACTCTAGTCTAGAATTTCTAGTTACAGTACAAATAAATGAAATTCTTATTACAATTATCTAGTAGCAAAATTACTGACTGATCCTTTCCAATGCTTTGTTTAAGTAATAAAAGCACTTTCGTTATATTAATTAAGATATTAAAATTAAGCTTTTGTAATTGTTGTAATAGACATAGTGAATTTAAAGAATGCTCTAAGTTCAGATAGTAATAATAATAATAAAATATTAAATATTACATAATAATAACAAAGTAACTAAAAGTTTGATAATAACTAATAGTGTATTAATGATAAAAGTTATTGTTACAAGTAAAAAAATAAAATAATATGTACTAAATAATAAATACTATTTTTTTAGTTCTCCCATTGGTGTGCCTGGTGGCACTATGGGTACTATTTTTACACCCATTCCATGTCAATATAAATTTTATGAGACTGAGCTTGTTGCTGGTAAGTATAATGTATACAATATTTCATAAATATATAAAATTATAAATATTTACCATAAAATAGAGGATTTTCAATTTTAGCACCATGAGTCTTCTTTTTGCAATCGCTATCACGCATGCAAATACTTTTTGTTTTTAACATTTTTTTAAAAGATAATAATGGTTTTTTAATTGTTTTAAATGATTTTTATGTCTAAAATAGTTTAATGAAAAATTGATAATTTGAAACTTTTGCATTGTGAACAACATGAAAGAATAATGTGTTAAGTTCTTTTATGTTGTTGTTTCTTCTGTTGTTTAGTTAATTATAATTTAGTTGTTATTAACTACTTTTGTATTCAGTATTCTCAGATTAATAAAAAAAATTATCTCATACTAATAAAAGTGAAGGCTATAAAAAACATCTGCAAAAGAAAATAAAAGTATAAAGTTTGGTGCATTCAATTAATGAAATTTATAATGGAACATGATTAAATTCCAACTTTTTGGCAGAATTTAGATACATAATCTAAATTCTTAATTTCATAATTAAAAGGCTCAGGAATTCTCAGAATTAAAAAACTCAGGAAATTTTAAAGTATTACTCTTTCTCAATATAAATTCATTTATTTTGGGATGTAAGTTATCATTTTAATTTTCTGTACTTAAGGAAAGAAAATTTGTTATACAGTTTAATTTTTTTTTGTTTTTGCAGTATTTCTAGATCCAATTAATAATCACAGCCTACAACATCTTGCCTTCAATAAAAAGGATAAAAAATCCAATTTGTCAAAGAAAACCTTCAAAAGGTGCTAAAAATCTACACAAAGTTTAGTCTGAATAATATTTTAAAAGTTTAATTTATCCCCATTTTGTTATGTATAAACACTAGTTATTATCTTGTAAACAGATATGGACTAGCATGTCCCCGAGACCGTGGTCTTGGAGAAAGAAAACACAATTTTTTTTTAAATTTTTTATTTTTTGCTGTTGTTTATAGAGGAAAAAGCACTGTTATTCTCTTTGTTGTTTTAAAGGAAGAAAACCTTTTACTTTTAAAAAATAAAAAAATGCAACTTTTTTTTTTTTTTTTTTTTACAAGCTTATGATGACTTAAAACCTTTAATGGTGACTAAAATTCCTGTAAATGGCTATTATGGTTTTTTTTTAAAGGCAATTTTAATGTTCCAATAAAAATAAAATCTTGATCTCTTCTTGATGTCTTTCATCTTTAGCTCTTGATAATCTGTAATCATGAGTTTCATAAGGTTATGATTAAAGTATTAAAATTTTAACAAAAAAAACAAAAGAAAGAAAAAATGTATACATAAATATTATTCTAAAGAAAAATGTTCAACTAAATTTAGTTCTAATTTTGGATTCAAAAACTTTTTCAATGCTAAACAAATTTTTGAAATTGGAATTCAATCCTGGATATGATTCAAAAATTCATTTGAAATTAAAATTAATTAAATCTCTGGTTGATTCCAGTTTAAAACAGCTTTCTGACAGCTGTCATGTTTTTTTCTGATGAGCTGTCATGTTGTTTGATAAACTTGTAGTATAAAATTTAGCAATATTTACATCAGTTTTCCGTCATCTGAATAGATGGTTTAAATTTTAGAAAATTTTGTAACTTGTGTATTGTCACAACTGGTTTTTGCAATCATTAACTTGCAGCAACGATATTTAAGTTGTTTGAGGAAAGGTTTGCAACTGCCCCCGTGTATTTTTTTATGCTCTCAAATGTAAAAAACTAAACAAATGAAAACAAAAGCTGCCTTAAACATTTAAAAAATTTAAAACATTTTGAAAATTTAGAAAAAATATTATTCACAATTAAGTTAATTAATTTTTCATTAAAATTTTTTTTTTCATTTTTTTTTTATTATTTTAGTAAAAACATTTGCAAAGAACAAAGGTGGTTCAAAGAAACCTCTTTCCTTGCTGAACAGTGTTGGACACATTTCAAAGTATTATTTTCAGAATTTTATTTTGTGTAAAAATAAAATAAAAAATGTTTGTTGTTGTTGTTGTTTGTTTCGATATTACTAACTTGTGTTGTTGTTGTTTGTTGTTGAACTTGTGTTGACTGGATTAATCAATTATCATACACATTTGTATTTTTTGTCTATTCTAGAAATCTTTTCTTTTCATTTCATTCTTTTCTCAAAAAGTTAAAAAATGTATTATTTTACTTCTGTTATGGAGGATTAAGGGAATTAAGATTAAAAGTTTTATTCAAACTTTTTTTTTTTTTTTTTTTTAGTGATAGCTCTTTTAAAAACTTGTTATTGGAGCAAATAAGATTCTGCAAGATAAAATCTCTAAATATTGCATACATTTACATATGTAAATAATGCACATACAAGTTAGGTGAACAGAAAAAAAAATATTTAAGTTTAGTATAAGGAAACAGTCAATTTAACAAGTTCTTAAAAATTATCTATTTAGTTACTATAGTTACATCATAATAAAACCATCTCCGTACAAAAAGTCAACTGACTTTTTGTATGAAGCTATATAGAAGAGAAGTTTTGTATAAAATTTAAATTTTTAAAAGATTTTTCTTCATTGAAATTTTAGTCTATAAAAAAATAATTAAAAAATAAAATTTAATTTTAGAAATTTTTACAGATATACAGAGATTATTTTTTTCTGGATACTTCCGGATACTTTTTTCAATTTTTAGTTTTTCCAGATATCCAAAACATTTCCCATACATACAAGTTTAGGTATATATTTTTGTAATATATTTCTTTTTTAAGCTTTATTACTCAAAACTAAAAAAAAGTTTGAAAAAAAAAAAAATAGAAACAACTCAGCTAAAAGCACAATTAGGAGGAAAATATTTTACAGATCTTTTCCATATATTTTACCTAAACAATTTTCTGAATTTTTAAAATATAGTCTGAATGATCTATGGATATAACACTTTTTCATAATAATCTCAAAAAACATTCTTATGTCATCTGTTATACCTATGTTATATCTACATGTATACTATCTATGTTATATTTATGTGTATACAATATTTATATTGTCATAGCTGTTAAATTTAATAGTTTTTTCAAATTTTGTGTTCACTAATTTATATTAGTTACACATTGATAATTTAAGTATTTTTTATTTAGATCAGCAGATGTTTTGCTTGAGCGTTTAAAAGATGTGCTTGGATACGTTAACGATGTTCTTGTAAGTTATCTATTTTGTCTTTTCAAAGTTATGTACTTTTTTAAAACTGGGCTCCATTTTATTTTATACTAATAATTTTTAAGCTGCATTGTAATGTAAGAAGATGAGCAATTCCTACAAAAAATTGAATTGATTGAACTATTTTTTTAAATTATGAAAAAAGCTCAATAATTCTTATTAAATTTTAATCAAATTCATTTTCAACAAGTTTGCAAGTAACCTTTATATAATAATTAAGACTATAAAAGTTGTTGAGTATTTTACAATTTTGAGTAAAGAAAAATCAAACTCATAGTAAATCTTTCATATTCAATAATTTTAAAATGTAAGTTTTCAAAAATCAATTGTTGGAATTGTCATATGGAAAACAAAGCTAAACAAGTTTAATTGCTGTAAATTTTTTGTTCAAAAATATTTAATTGTAAATCTGATCATCTAATCTAAAAAATATTACAAGAAAAAAATAAAAAGTCACTTGACTGGGAAATCAAGGCAAGTCTTAATTGGGAAATCAAGTCACAGTTTCACAAAAAGAAAGATAATAGAAATTTAATGGTGAAAATGCGACCAAGAATGCAACTTCTTGTTCACACTGAAGTTAAAGGAGCTGTTGCTGGTAAAAGCTTTGTTTCTGTCATTAAAAAGGTATGATTCAATAATCTTGAATCTGCCTAAAATCTTTTTCAAACATGAATCTGAGAAGTGTTTAGGGAGAAGATCAGTATGCCTGACATAGTATGTTAAGGGTGTTCTTTCTTGCCCATCGCCAATATAATGTGTAATCTTAAGGGTGTTCTTTCTTGCCCATCGCCAATATAATGTGTTTTGTTTTTTATGGTTAAATCTGCAGTAAAAGAGAACAAGAGTATGAGAATCCATTTTGATTGTCAGAAAGATTTATTATAAGTCAGAAAGATTCAAGATAAGAGAGATAATTATTTAAAGTCTATTTATAGTATGAAGAATGTTTGATCAAAAAAAAAATAGTTCACACAAAAAATTTAGTAAAAAAAATTAGTAGTACTTAAAAATTATGTATAAATTTATTTAAATTTCAAAATTTAACAATAAAAATCATGTTTATTTTAAGTTATTGCTTCTTATTCAAAATCATTTTATTTTTTCATTTGTTTAAATGTCATGTTTTAAACAAAGCCATATTAAAGATTTATAAGTATTATCTAATAGTCATAAATTATAAGATAATTTGTTGATTATTAATTTTCTATTTAATATAATAATTGTAATAACTAAGTTTCTATATAAACAATATTTAGCTTTCTATTTAATGATATTTAATGATACAGTCAGTCTGAATTTTGTGTGAATTAAAACTTAATTATATGTAGTAACTTTCAGAGTTAGTGTTACCCTAAACTTTTAAATTAAAAAAATATATGCTATGTAAATAATTTTAAAAAAACATGATTTTTCACTTAAGAATGGTTTGAAACCTGCAAACAATGAGATTGGTCAAAAGTTGATGACAGTTGTCGGCTCTGTCCCTCAAATGGATCCTCTACAGCTAGAAAAAATGATGAACAATAATATGCAGGTGCGAGTTTTTTTAGATTTTGATAAAATTGATTAATGGCATTTTATAAGATTTGTCAGTGTCCTGTGTTAAAGTGACCAAGATTAGCACGCCCTTAAATTTAAAGTTTGCGAGACGTTACATATACGGTCGTCTAGTGTATGTTAAACTGACGTTTGTGAACGTCTGTGCCCGTGTAATATTTCAGATCGATGTTGATCCGTGCTGATAAAATACTTTATATTACCACAGGATATGGGCAATATCAACGCGTGATAACAGTATACCTCCCATTAGTATATGTCCTACATGTCATGGTACTTTATTTCTTTTATAGGATTTACTCATGGTACTATATCTTGCAAGTTTGACAAAGTCACAGCTGGCTGTAGCTACCAAATTGAATAGTATCTTGTAGATAGTTATGTGATATATATATATATATATATATATATATATATATATATATATATATATATATATATCCATATTTATGAGCATGCTTTGTTGCTATTGCTTATTTTACCTCCACATGACAGTCTGAAAGCTCCTTTGATATATTAAAAGTTACCAAAAGTTGATAATATGAATCGGTGTCGTTTTTATCACATTTAACCTATAATCCCATATGCTAGGTGTTTCATCCATCTGGCGACGACCTTAAAAATTAATCGTATTGAAGTATTCATATTGACCTGAATATTATTTGCAGAAAAAAAACCTAATAAGTGCAGACATGCTGGCGTATTATGTTTTCCTAATAAATTTTTATAAGCAACGGTATTAATAAAAACTTAATTTACTATTAAAAAACTTCACAATCTTAAAAAAACTCAAAAGTTTTTATATAAATGTGAAATGAGATCTTAAAATTATATTTTGATCCTTGAAACACTACTCGTTGTAGTTAAGGCAATTTTAAAATGCCTTTTATTTTAAATAGCGTCTGTATGATATTTTGTTGACTACGACATATTTCCGTTAAATAAATAGGTATATGAATTACGAAAAGACGAAAAAAATTAAAATGATAAATTTTGCGGTATTTTCAAATATAAATGTTTACATTTATACTTGAAGAAATTACATTTACAGAAGAAAAAGAACCAGACCGAGGTTTTTTGTTTTAGAAAAAAATCTTCTTAAAATCACAATCGCTTGTCCAAATTTTAATAAGATTTTAAATAAATACGTTTTTTGGGTAAAATTATAGTTAAACGATATGATCCGATCGTTTAATGGCAATTATTCTTAATTATAAACAAGGAATTCTAGTATTTTTTGTAAAAATTGATAAAAATATTGTGTTTTGACAACTATACATAGTTAATATTCGTCAGAACCGGTTAGAACTAGGATCAATAGTAAATTAAAAAACTTTTTTAAAAGATTTTTAACTAAATTCATGTTAACGTAGATTAACAGAATTGATCTAAAGACTCCAAAATAGTGTTCTTTTAGATTCACTATTACGGGTTGTAAAAAGGTTTTAAAAATTATGTGAAAAAAATTTAGTTTTATTTAAATATTAAAGCAAATACACTTATAAAACCATGCTAATTCCAAAATAAAAGAATTCGAATAATTTGTAAATCGAAAAAAATTCCACCAAGTAGCATAATAATAATTTATTAAATTTTTTTAAAGACAAAAAGACTTAAACTTTCTGTAAGGTGGGTAAAAAGGATGCAATTGTTAAAAATATATTTACTTCAAAATCACCAAATATATGCAGAATATCATTACCTTAAAATGCTGTCGACGTTAATCCCTCGTTTTTCTTCAAGGTTAGCAATCTGTTCTGTCTCAGCTAAATTTTTTGCCTGTTTGATAGCGTTTTTTAATGTGTGCGTTATTAAATTATAAAAAAAGAAATATTTTTCTTTCCTCAAAGAAAAATTTTGAAAAATCATTCTATATTACTTTAAAATTTTTTAATAAAGGTGTTAAGGTGGTAGTACCCCAAAAAACAGGCTAAATTTTTTTACTTTCAAAATTTTAATTTTAACAATTTTCATTCATTTATAAATTTATTCATTTATTTCATTCAATTATCATTCATTTAATTAATTTTCATTCGTCACTCTTAAGAGATATCTCTAAAGATTTTATAATAATAACAAAAAAATCAAAAGGCCTAAACTATCCTTAATAGATTTATTAGTGGAAAATTAATCGCCTTAGCAACGGCCCTTGGAGGTACATTTCTTGCTATATCTTGAAAAATACACCCCAATTTAGGGGTTGTCCATTAATCACGTCAACAAAATAGAGGGGAGGAGGTCTGAACTTTTTTGACAATTGTTGACAAGGTGGAGGGGGGAGTTCAATTAAAGTTGATGTCAACTTTTTTTTTTTTTGAGCTTCATTGCTTAAATAACGGAAAATTAGGCTGATTTTGTAGCTTAGCTTCTTTGTATAAGGGGGGGGGGGGGTAACCATTAATTGACGTAATTTTATAGGGGGGTCTCTGGAAATTTGACAAATTGTTGACAAGGGGAGGTAAAAATTTCAAAAAAATTGTTGACGTAATTAATGGACAGCCCATTATATACTTTTTTGTGAGCTTATGACTAAATTTTTAAAGAATAGCTTAGTAAGTATGGAATCTGTAGGCGCTGTACAAAGGAGCTTAAACTCAAGTACCTAACATACATTGGAGATACCAAATCTTATATGCAAGTTTACAATGCAAATCCATACCCAGGAGAAATTATTGAGAAAGCAGAGTGCATTGGACAGAGTTAGTGCAAGACTACGAATGTTGCGAGATCGTTACAAAGGTTATACATTTTCAGATGGAGAATAGATCAGTGGGTAAGGAATATTAACTGATAAATGGATAAAATCTCTTCAAAACTTTTATGGAATAGCAATACGTCCAAATATTGAGAGTCTATATAGGATGAAAAAGGCTGTTGCTACTTTTGTGCTACTTACATTGCTACTTTTTCACTGCGCATAATCTGATAACTAAGATCAGTTTTGCTCTAAAAGTTCAAGTTCATGGTGTAAGTATTATTCAAACCAGAGAAATTACAAATCAAAGTGTATCCCAAAAGCTATAATTAAGCTCATGAAACCAATTTTTTCTTACAAAGATCTTGGCAGTAATGAATTGCTCTAGAAATGTTTACATGGCCAAACTCAAAATGTCAATGAATCGCTAAATGGGATGGTTTGGACTGAAACACCTTAAAGAGTACATTTTTAAGAACAGTTTTTGAGATTGGTTTGATGTCTGCAATAATTAGTTTTGATAATGGAGTTCAGGGTTTACTACCAGTGTTTGAAAAATGTAATGTTGTACCTAGATATTTTACAGCAAAAAGTTTTCTAAATGTAGAATATGTACGTGTTAAACAGAATGAGATAAAAAGTACAGTTGTAGAAAGTGTAAAAGTACAGGTGCCACAAAAAGTACAGGTGTCACAAAAAACAGAAGAAAAATGTTAAGAGCTATTAAAAAAGGCTTTATTGACCAACATAACGAAGCAGAAGGTGTTACTTACAACAGTGGTGGTTTTTTATTGACCAACATAACGAAGCAGAAGGTGTTAAATACAACAGTGGTGATTTTTATTGACCAACATAACGAAGCAGAAGGTGTTACTTACAACAGTGGTAGTTTTTATTGATTTTATTGTGTAAAAAAATTTTAGTATTTTTTTAAATTGCGTTTTTCTAGCGATTCACTTTTTGTGTACCTTTTAATTTTTCAACAAAGATAATTTTTTAACTGTTCATTGGAATTCTTTCAAATTTTAAACAATTATTCTTGAGTGTTTTTGTGATATGCTGAAACAAAGAAAATTAACTTTTTTTTATATTTAAGTTTTATATTAAATGTTGTTAATTGTATAATTTTTAATTCAGCACATTTTTTGAACATATATAAAACTACTTATAAAATTTGGTTAGATATATGTAATACATGTAGAACATGTATGATTTTCAAGATATTCTTGTTAAAAAAAGGTCAATTTTTTTTGTCTAAATTTATGCGTATAATTATTGAGCGAGCAAGACTTCAGAAAAACATAAATGACCTATATAATAGTTTTTTTAGTTTTATCAATTTATTTCGCCGTTAAAAATATTCACAATGTACAACAATATAAAAGTCCAATTGGCTAGAGCAGGAAGAAGACCTTATCACCAATAGTAACGCAAATTAATATCCGTAATATATAGGCAACAGCATTTTAAAAAAAGTCAATTTTATATATTTTTTTTTTTTTCAAAAAAATTCAAAATTAAAATGATAAAATTTCCATCCTAATATTATAAAATATACCAAAGAAAATTGTATGTTACTTCAAGAGTAAATATTTTCAATGAAAGTATGATAAAGTCATTGAAATTCTTTATATTGACTTTGTTTTGTCAAATGGTCTAGATTTTTAAAGTTATGGTGCTAATTTAGTTTAATAACTTCTAAACGTGACAGAGAAAATCTGCTATATTAAAATCCTTATATATAGTCTTAATTTAGATAAATAAAGTCTTAATTTAGATTTGAATTGCGGAAATGTTTTTTCGTTGATATTAACAATATGCTGAAAGTTTTTTCACAAAATTGTTCCCGATACTAAATAGAATAAGAACATAACTTTAGATTACATTTTTGAGTTACAATGTTATTTTCTGAAAACTTGGTGGGGTATTAATGGCTTACGTCTCTAAAATAAGGAGAGAATATCGACAGTCCATGCTTTATTTTATACATGAACTGTATGACTGTGGGATAGGCTAATATCATTGTTCAAAAGTGACACTGTGGGGTAGGCTAATATCATTGTGGTGTAGCACTGTGGGGTAGGCTAATATCATTGTTCAAATGTATAATGTATAGTAGGTACTGAGTCGATGCAATCAAAGTTATGTGATACATAGGTCTATCCATATATTAAAGTCTTAAATTGAAAAAAAAAAAGTATTTTACGAAATATTTGCCACAGCCATTTAAGGCAGTAATGCAAAATTTTATAAAAAGATAATCATGTTAAAATGTACAACATGGTTCTAACATAATAAGAATAAAAAACTTACGTGATCATACTCATGCGATCTATAGATATTAAGTTATAAAGTAAAAACATTAATGAAAAATGGTTTTAAAATTCTCATTTTTTTTTTGTTGTTAAAAGTAAGTAATTCATCAAAAATAATTTTCATTGGATACTTTTAAAAGCGGTATTTTCTAGGACGCACAAATCTAGAATTTGAATAGTTTCCCCTCAGCCTCCCAATAAAATATATATTTTTCAAGTTTGGCATTGCAAGTATATTTGCCCAAAAAATCTTCTTAAGAAATTTACAAAATTTAAAAGCGGTATTTCTTATGACCTTGTTTATGGAAATGAAATACGACAACGGCGATGAGCAAAAGATAACATATGCAATATTGACGGGAACAGTTAGCCACGCTAACAATTAAAATTTTCATTTTCTATTAAAAAAGTTGCTGTGGAAGCAACTATGTTCCATTTTCTTGTTCAAGTTTGTAGAAAGTCATGCATGTCTAAAAAGCTTACATAAATTAGATAATGTCATTACATAAGGTTATAGTTTTTAAATATACAAAAGGTACGAAAATTTAACTTTAAATCTCTCAAATTTGAAAGTTATCAAACCAGTTATCAAAGTTATCAAACCAGTTATCAAAGTTATCAAACCAGTTATCAAAGTTATCGAACCAGTTATCAAAGTTATCAAACCAGTTATCAAAGTTATCAAACCAGTTATCAAAGTTATCAAACCAGTTATCAAAGTTATCAAACCAGTTATCAAAGTTATCAAAACAGTTATCAAAGTTATCAAACCAGTTGTAGTGTCATAAACATTTTTTTCACATTTTTTTCAAACGCTTTTTCACATTTTTGTGGTTCTTTCATCAAAACTTTACATATACATGACCATAAATATAAACTGATTCGTTTACAATGTTTAAAATAAAATACCGTATATATAATAAGAAGTTTTTTTGTACAAATAATAAATTTAGCACAAATAATAAAGATAAAAACGTAGTTCATGTGGTCTTGTCGAGAAAATCGCTTTTAGTAGGGATATTTTTATAAACTCAATTTTTTTAAATTTTAGTTTAGCAAAGTTTAGCAAAGATTAGAGTCACATATAAAAAGCTATTAGATAATTAAAAACTGATAAAAACTGTATTTGATACACATAAATATTTTACTAAATGGCTTGCAATACTTAATATATTGACAGACATGTGCTAAATATAAATTAAAACTAACATTTACTTTGTTTTGAAGTTAATTTTTAGGGCTTTGTAGTTTTTATTTTAGCATACGTTCGTAAAGTTGTTTAGAACTAATTTTTTCAATATCAATATTTTGTCTTGCTAGCCTTGCACTCCAGTTTTAGACCAATTCAGAAGTAATCAACTGCATACCAAGAAGATATTTACTAAATCTGATAATGCCAGCTGCTATCAGGGAAATCTTTTAACTTAAGCAATATACAATGGTTGTAAAGAAAGAGATATAAAGTTGTGAGATATAGTTAGAGTGTTCCAAAACAGGCTATGTTAGACATACCCTTTTTTGGAAACTATCAAAGTGACAGAGATAGTGCAGAAACTACAATGCGATGCATTGCAGTTTTAGCGCAAAAGATGCAAAAGTAGTAGTTACACAAATTAGCAATGATAAAACTGTAGTTACTGAACCAAACATAAATAACATTAGCAACGCTCATTTAAATTTGGTAAAAAAAGTATAAAGAGTCGTTTTTTCGTTTCTATTTTGATACCAGTGAAGGAATTCAACTAGAGTATGGAAATCTTAAATTTCGGCCCTTGATTAAGTTGTTGTTGCCACATAGCAAAACAGATTATTTGATTAATTAAAAAAAAAAGGAAAACAGAAAAGGAGTGACAGGTAATTACGCGCATTTTGCGCTGAAATTAATTTTACTTTATCGTTTTAAAACGATGTTAGAAGAACACATTCTATCCGTTAGAAGAACACATTCTATCCGTTCTTCATACAGTTTCAAAATTACTGACATCATTGGATAGAGTTCAGTTAAAAAAATGAAAATTACTTCATAACTAAATACGTCTTTGTTAATACTTTTTACGTCTTTGTTAATACTTTTTACGTCTTTGTTAATACTAAATACGTCTTTGTTCACTAACTGTATTTCTGTTGTAGACAAACAACCACATTTTTGTTTTTATGATGTGGTTTTTATGATGTGGTTTTTATACAAACAAAAATTTCATCAGCTTGAAGTTCTTTTAGATTTCCAAATCAACAGAAAGCACTGTTTTATTGATACTTTGTTTGTGGACAAGAATTAGATAATAAAACAAACCCTGAGCACGTTCACATTCAGCTTATAAAAGAACTTCTGCCTGATCAATACGCAACAAGCCAACAGATAAGATCTCTATTTTCAATGTAAACATTGTTTATATTAAACACTTTACCAAGTAAATTTGATTAAGTTTCTTACTATTGAATTGAGGAATTCTTCTGTAAATATGTAACTAATTAAAGCTCTGAAAAAATGTAAACATAATTTTTTATTTAATGAATTAGATGGATAATTTTAGGTGCCGAAAAAATGGCAAAAGCACTCTCGAGTCCTTAATGTAAACTGTTTAATAGATGATCCTTTTCTAATCGATTGTTGTGGCGATTATTTATTATCCTAAAGAATAAATAATTCGTTATCGTAAATAGTTTGGTATCGTAAATGTGGCGATTATTTATTATCCTAAAGAATATATAATTCGTTATCGTAAATACTTTGGTTTTCGAAAAATTGTTCCATGGAACATGCAATAACTGATCTTAATTAATTAGGTAGCCCTACATTGACTGTTTAATTATCGGTGATTTTGAACTCTCTTGGTTAATCTAATAATGTTAGTAAATATTTGGACCCAAACAATTCTATCATGTGTGAACTCTGTAATATTTACTAAACAATCTCTTTACCTTCAATACTTATGTGCAAAAAGACTCGCAATTCCTCTTACAAAAGTTTCCTATAAATCCTTTAACTTTGAAATAACAACCTCTCTCTGTGTGTAACAGAAACTTTTAATATTATTATTACTTTTCAAGAATTACATTAGTCTACTAATAAAAGGTATCTCTATTTGACTAGGCTTTTTGATTTTGCAGCAGACAAGTTAAAATTAAGACCGCATCCCTAGCCCTGAACCATAATCCTGAAATTTGATAATTTTTCTTGAAGACTTTTAAACGATGAAATTAAGCAACTTTAACTTGAAATAAACTTTGAACTAAGAAATGTCAATGATTTTATAATGCTAATTACTATATTGTTATTAAATTACTATATACTCTATACTAAAAATACTAATTATTTCAAGTCTTTCTCAATATAGATAAAACAATGCATACTTAATTCCATAAAAAACATAAGAAAAAAATTTTCATTTAAAGATACTCGATCTGAATATTTTTACTGTCTTTATTAAGTGCTGAACCCATACCCCAATACACATTAAAATATCCCCACCCAATATCTAGGTTTTTTAAATGGTTTTTTTATGAATGAGTTTACAGTTTTACATCATCTAAAACATCAACTTTTATTTGACATTGAGTCTTTTAAATATTTGGCATAAAACTTTGACATTAAGTCTTTTAAAAATTTGACTTTTAAAAGCTAATAAAGATTGTCATACAAAACGGTATCATTGGCTTAACATCATGATAAACTGTTAAAAAGCATTGCTTAATACTGAGCAAAGAAATGAACTTTATCTTAATAAGTACAGGTTCCTTTGCAGCAGGTAAAACACTTTTGTAGCTCTTGCATGACAGCAACTTATTCTTTAATGGAGATTCATTGAAACATATTTTACAAATGTTCTCCAAATCATTATTAACTCTTTTTACACAACTTATTATCCTCAACTCATTAAATACCACAGAAAAAAAGAGGGAGGCGATTACTTTCGGTCTTTCATTAAAGTTAGCACATCTGATAGACGATCTGATAGTGGATTCTTTTGCATTACTCAATTTAATTTTCTTTGGTTTAAAAGCCTACAAAAATGTTTCAGAAAGCGTTTTGTTTTTTAATCAAAATCATGTCAACCAAAACATCAAAAACGAGCTTACTTTGTGCGGCGAGTGTCTTTACCGCCTTTTTCAAACGACGTTTAATGAAATCCGCAAAACTCCTAGCAACTCATATCTAGAATATAACATACCCTACGGCCATTTGTTTTTCAAAGTTACGTTCTAAATATCTTTTAAACATTTTATAAACGTCTTTTAAACGTTCTTTACGTAAGAATGTTTAGAAGACGTTTAAAAGACATTTAGAACGTAACTTTGAAAAACAAATTTCCGCTGGATAATTTCAGTTATTTGCTTACAACGCGAACAGTTAAGAATTATTTATCATTGAAATTTCACCTTGTCAAGTTTGACGAGATTATTTTGAATCTGAAAAGCGAAATATGAAACGGAGTTTTTTTTAATATGGTCCATCAAGTTACTTTACTTCTTGGGCAATATTTAGCAAGAATTCAGCCTTTTTCAGCAAACTCACACTATGTTCTTTAAATTAGAACATCTAAAGTAAAACAAGCAAACAATGTAAACCACGCAAATAATGAAAGAAAACGATACAACTGCTTGTAAATGCAAGTATTTAAAAGCAGCCGTATTTATCTTGAGAATAACATATATATATTCTGTCAATGACTTGGTCTTTTTAGTATATTTACGTTATAAATAAATGACTTTAAAAAAACATTTGGTTTGGCAAAAATTGTAATAAGAAATTTAGCTAAATTATTTAATAAAATAACAATTGAAATATGGTTCTTAAATATTCACGTCTTTTTCTCCTAAAATTTTATATATCTATAAAAACCACGAGGTAACATTAAAGCTCGTCTTCGGGGTTATGTGTTGTTTTATCGTCGGGGTTATGTGTTGTTTTACCGTCATTTGTTTCTGCAGATTTTTCTGCAGATTCATTATTAGATTCACCATCGGGTATATCAGATTTAGTTTCAGGACTAATAGAATCTGTTTTTTCACCGCCTAATTCAAGTACCGGAACATCTTCAACTGGAACTTTTTTATTTTTCCTACTTTTCTTGGTTGTCTCTTCAGGTTCGTCAGGCTTCGTTTTTAAATCCGGCTCACTTTGTTTTGTATTATTCGTTGCTTTTCCTGTACTTTTAGTCGTATTTGAAGCTAGAACAGAAAAAATCCACGTTTCTAAATTATTATTTACTACTATATTATTATTATAAATATATTATTTGTAATTATTAACCTAAAACTTGTATAAACTACTCAAAGAAAAAACTCACAAGGCTTTGGTTTAGGTTTAGGAACATAATATTTTGCTTTGTTAATCAAATACATAAGTTCACGATCAAGTTTTGCTTGATGAAAGTAAACATCTTTGCTAAGAAGAACAGGTTTTTTCGTTGGATCACTTTCATTCTGTTTTTTCCACGTTTCCATGAACCATTGCTATAAATAATAAAGCAATTAAAAAAATGAACCATAAATTAGTTTTAATCCAAAAAATTTTAGGCCAATATTTAAATTATTTCAGATTTTAGAAATAATATTTCGTAACGTACAGATGGTATGAGTTGGAAAATTTTAATAATAAATTGAATTTAAATAATCAAAAATTCATACCTTTGTTTCCTCGCTAATTTTTTCCAAATCTTTGAAGTCTTTTTCAGTATATATTTCTTTAGAATCAGGCATGTCTCTTACAGTTTTTTGCATCATATCTGATATATTAAAACTTTGCAACATGGCGGCAATTGCTTTGGGACGCTCAATCAATTCATCCAATCGGAACTGTAACTCTTCAGCAACTTTTTTAAGGTCACTCAATTTCTTTTTTAATGTCTAAAAACAAAATATAACTAAATAAAATCAAAAAAAAAAAAAAAAAATTAATTTGGAAAATAGGTAGTTCACTGTTTTTTTAATTTTTAAAAAATAAATGATAAAAATTCATATTTTGCATGCCTTTTCATCAGCCTCAAATCCTTCTTCTTCCAACCAAGTTCCTACAACATTAAAAGCCTCTTCAATACTTGATCGTTCCTCTTCTGTAGTAAGCGGGATTACATCATCACGAGTTAATTTATCTTTAAACGTATACAAATAATCCTCTAATGCATTCTGGGCTCGTTCTCTTGCTTTTTTAGCAATATCCCTTGCTTCATAACCTTTTATTCTAAATGTTTTTATTTATATAATGAATTAAATATAAATAAAAACTTAACATTTAACATAGAGTAAATAGCGTGTTAATGGTAAAAATAGGATTAGAAAATATACTTATCAACAGAAGTCTGGTAAATGTCAACTGGAATGGCTGGAACATCAGCACGTTTATAATTCAATAAAATAGGTTCCTTCACAATCACTGGTTCAATAGGCTTGGCTTCAGCAGAACTATTTGCTGATGTATCATTCTATAGAGCAAAAGCTTTTTTTTAAGTATATAACTTTAACTTTAAATGAAAAAAATGAATAACAAAACGAAATTGGTTCAATATATATATATATATATATATATATATATATATATATATATATATATATATATATATATATATATATATATATATATATATATATATATATATATATATATATATATATATATATATATATATATATAACCTTTGAAGTTGTAGCATTAAGAACAGTGGAATTATCTGCTGTTTTGCTATCAATGGTTTCTGATTTCTAAAAAAAGAAAAAATAGAGAAAACTTTTCCTAATCAAATCAATCAAAAACTTCAGTTTAATTACTTTAGTAAGAAAGTTTAAATATAATAATTCATATAACATTATAAAGTTCAGCTTTGTCTGTAGCCCATATTTTTTAAAAGATTTTCAGACTCTGCTTTCCCCACACATAATTTTATGTGAAGCTTTCAAGCTGCTTGCACCTCTAGAGTTTGCTTAACACACAGCTTTTAACATATTGTCAACATCAACTTTTAAAAAAGGCAACCATACATTGCTTTTCTTCTGATTTTTTACTTAAACTATCATTGTATTTTGAAATAAGTTTGCTTAACATTAATTTATTTATTTATTGGCGATATTACCAGGACAATATATATCAATCAAAAGTTCTTTCATATTATTGTGCATTAAAAAATCACACATTTTTTAACATTAATAAACATGCGTTTAGAAAAAGCTTTCTCTAATTGTTTTACAATTTTGTCAATAATGATCCTGATTAAATATTTAAAAAATGGAAAAGCCCTGTTTTAAAGAATAAAACAGATCTATTAAATCTATTATTTTAAGCTTATATTATGCTGTTGTTTTATTGTTTTTAATTTTTTACTAAGGAAGCTTTGAATTGAATTGGTAAAGTATTTTTAACTATGGAATTTGTAACTAAGTTATTTTTAAATATGGAATTTTTAACTAAGGCACTTTATTATATTATATATTATAGATGAAACAGATATTAGACAGTATTAATAAAATATAGTAACAAAAGTTTATCATAAATAGGTTTTAGTTTGTTTTTAGGTGCTGTACAAATGATTCTTAAACATCAATATGCATACTACTTAAAATTAAGGTTGGCAAAGTACTAATATATTCTATATACTCAGAGGCGATTTTACGAGAGGAGAAGGGGGGTAAGGGTGTTTTTAAGAATTTAGTCGGCAAGTTGGGTAACACAATGCAGTCAGGTAAAATTTTTTTTTTAGGTAGCCAGTTGGTACTTTTTCAGGATTTCCCTTCCCCCTCATTTGTAGAATTGCCTCTGTATATACTGTAGTGGAAATGAAAAACCTGATTATTTGTATGCAATATTATTGACAATGTGCAATTTACAAAAAAAGAAAAAAATTGTATATAAGAAAAATTTGCAACCAAGTTATATTCAAAAAAAGAAAAAAATTGTATATAAGAAAGATTTGCAACCAATTTATATTCAAAAAAAGAAAAAAATTGTATATAAGAAAAATTTGCAACCAAGTTCAAAATTCAAAATTTCTAAAAATTCTAAATCATAATTATAATCATAATAAATATTTTTTTTTATCAAAAATTTTATGTTCAAGCATCAAAAGTGGCGGAAAAAAATGAAATTGAAATATGAAATGATAGAATCAATTGAAATATGAAATGATAGAATCGATTGATATATGAAATGATAGAATCAATTGAAATATGAAATGATAGAATCGATTGAAATATGAAATGATAGAATCAATTGAAATATGAAATGATAGAATCAATTGAAATTTTTTTAGTAATATAATTTAGAAAATCAATTTTTTTTTAAATGGAGATTTTATTTTGCCTTTATTTTAATGCATTTAACTAAAGCATATTCATATACAATCTTTTTACTTTTCTTAAAGTTTCTTAGCTATTATTGTGAAGTTAAAAAGTTACTTTGGCAAAAATTGTTAAGCTATTAAAATTATTATATTGAATTATTCAAGGTTAGCGTCAGGGTTATTATACATTACAGGCTATTACATACATTACACACTATGTAACTGTTTAGAAAAATATTTATAAATGTTGTTATGAGCTGCTATGGTCATAAAAAAATGTTATGAGCTGCTATGGTCATAAAAATATTTTCTAATAAAACTAACCTTTTCATCCTTCTCTTCTTTTTTGTTTTGTTCATCATTCTTTAAATCTTCTTTGCTTTTATCTGCACTATCTGACTTTTCTTCTTTCTTTTCTTCTTTAACATTTTCTACTTTTTCATCGTCAGATTTGGAACTTCCAAAGAAACTTGAGAGTTTTGAGCCCAATTCTTTTCAAGCATTTAAAAAAATATACATTATATATGATCCTTAATAAAATTGTAAAAACTTTTAAAATTATTAAAAAAATTACTTGCAAATGTTGATTGTTCTTCTTCTGCAATAAGCTCTGGTGTTTTTTCAAAATGTGCTTCTACCTGTTCAAAGTATTTTCATCAGATGAAACATTGATCAAATTTTTAATCTTTTTAAATATTGAAAATTTTATAAAGTAACAAACCTTTTCAACGCTTAAAATTCCACTCTCATCAAGATTGAAAAAGGCTTTAACACCTTTGGCATTTGCCTTGACATTTTTCTGATGAGCGCTCTCTACTCCAGATAATGATACATGTAAAACTTCTCCAAGATCAAGTGAACTAATCATAACAATTGATAAAATGAATTAATAAATGAAAAGAAAGCTTTTCACCTATTAAGTTTCTTATTTCTTATTTCAAAAATTTTCAAAAGATTTTAAATCAGAAGAGCTTAGAAGAATGTTCACCAATCAGAAGAGCTTAAAAGAATGTTCACCAATCAGAAGAGCTTAAAAGAATGTTCACCAATCAGAAGAGCTTAAAAGAATGTTCACCAATAAAACAATTTAAGTTATATTATTATAGTAATGAATATAATTTAATTGTAAAATTTGATAAAAATACATATAAAAACACTAAAATTGGTATATATTAGTAATGACAAAAACACTTATTTTTTTAGTTCTAAATTATTTTGTTTCTTAATTTTATTTTATTTTTGAAATTAGTTTTTATTTTGATGAAATTTGTACCTAGGAATTTATTATTATTTTAATTTTGAGAAAACCATATGGCACTGAATGTTGTAATAAGTTAAAGGAAGAATGAATTAATTCTAGATGTTGAATGAGTGAATGATAATGACGAGGATGATAATGATGATGGTATTAAATTATTCATTGAAGTTTGGAAACTGAATGATAATTTTGAATATATAAAATGATGTATGTGTGACATCATTTTACTTATTCCAAATAAGTAAAATGATGAACAACGTTGGATAATGATTTTGGACAAGTAAAACTCTTAAGTTAAAAGAAACAAAAATATATTTGTACCTTTTAAGTTTGTCAGAGAGAAATGTATGATCTCCATATGTAATATTAAAGTTGAAATCAGTAGGCTTTTTGTTAAATGTCATAACTTTCTTTTGGGGGAAATGATTTAATCTATTATAAAGATTTCTGGTAATAGAGCGAGGCGATTCATCATTATCTCCAGATCGGAAGAATTGAACCTAATGAACAAAGACAATACTAAATACTAACTCATTGTAATAATAAACATAAAAGAAAATATAATATATAAATTTATTTTAATAAATATTATTAATCAACTCACATCATATGGAAACAGGTTGAGATCTTTCACTAGAAATCGTTTTACTTTAAAACCAGCAGAGAGATCAGCTGCTTTGTAAACAGATCCTAGGTACAAAATATTGTTCAATGCATACATCAGATAATAATCAGATACACATTTAAATAAATACAACATTGAGCAGCAGAAATCTTCTGTGCAAATTATTACCACATAAACAGTAGGATTGTGCATAAATTATTTTTTAAGCATTCTTGCTTTTCAAGGATATCTTATTCAAAGTTTAAAGGTTTAGAGAAGAAAAAAAGTGTTTAGGTAAAAGATTATTTTTAAAGGTTATTAGAGAAAAGTAGCCTGGTCATGAATTTGTAAAATAAAAGTGAAAGTAAACAAAATATATAAGAAATTTAAGTTAATACAAATCAAAAAATAAAACAAAAACATACCAAGAGCAGCCGCTTCATCTGTGTTAATATTTTTAGCTAAATCTTGTCTAAAATGTAAATACTACATGTTAAATATTTTTTTTATGTTTACTTCCTGATAACATAGTAAAAATTTAAAAAAAGACTGTTATAAAAATAACTTTACTCACAATTTCGTTATTTCCAAAAGTTTTTCTTGTACTTTAGGAACTCTTGTGCCACCTCCCATCAATACTACTGCTTCTATGTCTTCCTAAAAAATAAAACAATACTACTGTTTCTATGTAAATGTTTCTTCCTAAAAAATAAAATAATACTACTGTTTCTATGCCTTCCTAAAAAATAAAACAATACTACTGTTTCTGTCTTTTTTTTTTTTTTTTAAAAACATCTTCGCTTCCAACAAGGCTGCAAGCTACCACTAATTATTGTTGGAAGTTACTAGAAGAAAAAAGATGAAGATTGTAGAGCAAGATAACGATTGACAGATGACTTAAAAGATTGCAAATTATATGAATCAGGAAAGCAAGATGAAGAAAGCGAATTCCAAAGAACTGATGTTCAAGGAAAAAAACTAGACAAATAAGAGTTTTTGGAGCAATTAGGAACAGTAACAGAAGAAGGATGAGACTTAAATGAAAATTAAATGACGAGTAACACGAGAATGAATTGTAGTAGATGGTACAAGAGACCCTCTTTAGAGCAGTGCCCATTATAGTGTAGAAAAAAGAAAGTGAAGCAACATTACCACAATGTGATAAAGATTGAAGGTTGGCTGCAAGAGCAGGTCCAACTATGTTTATATAGTTGGATCTATGTAAACATAGTTATCCAACTATGTTTACATAAAGGGCATCATTAGAAGATCCGCCCCCAGATATGGCAACAGTATTCCATACAAGGCCGGATTTGAGATTTATAGAGATAGAGAATAGAATCCAGAGTAAAAAAGTGCCGAGCTTGATAAAGAGGTGCATTTCTAGCAGATACTAATTTTACAACGGATTTGATATATGGTTTCCAAGAAAGATCAGAAGTAAGAGTTAATCCTAAAAGATGAAGGGTAGATGACTCATTGAGTACATTACCGTTCATAAATATAGGAAGGTCTAAATTATTTTATGTAAATTAAAGTTTACCAGCCGCTGTGAGCCCCATGCTGTAGCAGAAGTGAGATCCTTTTCAAGCTCAAACACCCCCTCCAAACAATCAGAGGGAGTTGGCTTCTTATCATGACAAGAATAAATGGTAGTATCATCAGCGAACAATGCCACCTTAGATGTGAGAATATCTGGAAGATTGTTAATGTAAATTAAAAAGAGTGTAGGGCCAAGGATTGAACCTTGAAGAACCCCTGAGGTTACAGAATAAGAAGAGTGCTGTCCTACAAGGACAACTTTTATACTACGATTGGAAAAGAAGGATTCAATAATCTTAAGGATGTTACCAGATACACTGTAAGAAGAAAGCTTATGGAGAAGACCAGGATGAATTGTCGAGAGGGAATAAAAGATTCTATGCCAGCCTGAATCCACAAAGTTATGTAAGAAGCACATTTGTCAACAGGAAGATGAAAGATTTCTACCCAAAGGCCATCACGAAAAAAATCAAGGAAAGAGTCCTAGTCAGCTTTAAGGTAGTTGTAAGATGTACAATGATAGGGGGATTCTGATGATAAAGAATGAAATAATAGTTTTAGAGATATCAAACTGTGATCAGAGGCACCTAAGGGTAAATGTGGAGAAACTAAGCCTAAAAAATGTCTTCCTAAAAAATAAAACAATTCTACTGTTTCTATGTCTTCCTAAAAAATGTTATAAAAAACAATACTGCTGATTCTTTCTTTATTTAAAAAAATAAATTACATAAAAAAATAATACTCCTGCTTTTATGTCTTTATAAAATAAATCTTATAAAAAACAGGAAAATAATAATAAATTCATTCACAAAATCAAACAAAAAACATAGATGCATCAAAATTTTACCATTTAAATGAATTAAAAACAATCAAAAAAAATGTAATAACCATTTTAATTGAAGATGCATCTAAAGCCATTTTTATTGGGTTCTGAATAGTATCAAACATATCTTTACAAAGTTCTTGCAGCTCATCCCTAGTAACCTTTACTCTAAAGTTTTTTTCTTCAAATAAGTTTTCTACTTGTGCCATATGATCAACATTTGCACTAAGAACTTGACGAACACGTTTGGCTTCATTTAGAAGTTTGATCATAGACCTTGGACTTTCTGTGATATCTTTTTTAAGTTTATGCTGTTCCTTTATATAATAAAAGCAAAATTAGTTTTCTATCTTGTTCCTGATAACATAATCACAATAATTTGATATACCTTGATATATTTTTAAAATGTATCTTGATATATTTAAAAAACTCAATAGCTTACTTTGAATGCCTTTACTAAGAAATCTCGTAATCTGAAGTCCATTTCTAAGCCCCCCAGTGAAGTATCAAACCTGTAAAATCAAAGAATTATATATTTATATTATTTTCTCAAATCTTTGATTTTGAAATTCCTTTGTAACCTAAAATCTTTAATAAATATCTTAATTCATAACTAGCATAACTGAAATCACATACTGAGAAAATGCATAATAAAAAACAGGAAAATGATTTTTATTAATTTGTATCAAAAAAATTAAATTAATGCATTAATTTAGTTTTTTGATGTTTTGGTTAAACATTCAATGTTCAATACCATGCAATACTGATATATTTTGGTATTAAAAAACTTTAAATAACAAAAATCAGTATTATGAAAACTCTAAGTTTTAATTAATTGTTTTCAGTATAAACTTCACTTGCTTTTTTGATTTCACCAGAAAAAAAAATCATTGATACATTTTTTTTCTCCTGGTGAAATCAAAAAAGATGACTGAACAATAACAGTTAAATTTTAGAAATTAGTTTTTAAATGCAATTAAATAACCTTGAAAAAAATATTTCAATCTCATATGTTTATATGAGATAATGACTGTATACAGGTTGTGCACAAGACATTCTAAAGTAGGGAACGAAAAATCGACCGTTTGCGGTGATCGGAATTCTGCGATCGGTAATTGCAGTGCACTGTGATGCATTGGCAGTGACAGCGGTTAGAGGTGTGCAGTGATCGTCGGTTAGGGGTTTTCAGTTTTCAGACCATCACCGCAGAAGACCGATCACCGCAAATGGTTGATTTTTTGTTCCCTATTCTAAAGGTGTGTGAAAAAAAAATATTTTAGCTCTTTATGAAAAAAAAAATTTTTTAATTTATGCATTTTTATACAAATACTGAAAAAAAAAAGTAATTTAACTTAAGTAATTTAAATTTAAGAACATTTAAGTTTATGTATGAAACAAACAAAAAAAACGGACATACATAGAAACATAAAAAACTTGAATGTTCTTAAAACATCTTGGTGTGGAAGAATAAAAAGAATGTTTGTGAACACCAAAAACCCGCCAAATTAACGAACAAACTAATTCTATTGATTTAAAAAAAACACTGACTAAGCGAAATAAAGTTCTAGAGTATTCTGTTGAAATATTTTAGAAATTTTATTATTCATGGTTTGTTACATAATGAGATTTTTAGCATAAATTGTTTTAAGAATATATATTATTTGTTTACAAAAATAAATGTTTTAAACATATATTATTTAAATTGTCAAAATTTTGAAAGTTTATTTTAAATTATAGATTTTATTAGTATATTCTTATTTTTTTTATTTAAAAAGTATGTATTCTTTATGTAAATGTAATTTTGTGTATCCGTTTTTTATCGTAATGTATCTTTTAAAGCAATTTTTATGATTTAAACAAAGACTTTAAAATAATTGGGTTTTCAATTAAGTTACAATCATTATAGTCAAATCAAAAACTAATTATATAAAAAACATATAAGAAGTTTCTGGTTACTAAACACAAATAACACATACAAAGTAACTCGCGGATGAAGAAGCACCGCGCCTGAGGTCACGACAGAACACAAATATATATAGCAAATTATTAGATATAAAGAAAAGTTTCTAGATATTGGTTTACTAACTCTAATTATTTTCGCTTAAGTTGCCATGCTTAAAACTCGGTATACTTTTTTCTGCTAAATACTAATTAAAATTAAAAAGCCCACTCACTAAACATCATCTGCAATATTGTGAAGCAGTTTCGCTTCCTCGTCATAAAGTATTTTTAACCTTCTTAATTGATTTCTATCTAGTTAATTTAATTTCTATAGTAATTCAATGATTTAATTATTTCATTTGTTTATCTTACTTTTAACATGAAAGTCATTGAAAAAAGAAAAAAATGTCCACATATATATAGTCAGTTTAAGATTCAATTTTTAAAAAGTATTTAAAAACAAAAAGCAAACTACAATTTACAAAATTGTAATATAAATTACAAATAATATTAAAATATTCAAATAACAACCATTTCATTAAAGAAAAATGAGTAAATATTGTATTATAATGTCAGGATAAATAAAAAATAGTAATTAAAAACGACAGATTTTTTTTTTTTTTGCATACCAATTTTTGATATGTTTTTTGAACACCTCAGAACTTTTAGAGGACTAAGAAGAATTACTTACTAAGAAGAATTGCTTCAAATATGATAAACTTTTCAAACTACGCGAAACATAAAATAGGTATTAAAAAAATTAACTTTTTTATTTATAAAATAATTTAGCTTAAATAAAACTAAAACTTGCAAACTTTGTTAAATAAAGAATATTTGTTCTCTTTTTAAAAAATTGTAAGATGTTAGTTATATAAAAATATATAAAAAACATCGCTTAATTTTATAAAAAAAATTATAAAAGAGCGATGTTTTGAAAATATTTGTTCTAAACATAATTTATTTTGCTTTAAGTTTTTCGCATTAAAAGATATTTTATTTGCCTAATTTTTTGTTGTTGTTGTAATTGTCTCTCATCGGTCCAATTATTCTTTTGCGCATTTTTTGCTTTTTAAAATGTTCTCAAAATGACTAAAAAATCTGGCCAGCTTTTTGCAACTAAATATTATTTCCCTGGTCAGCAATCAAGAGCGATCACTCCCGCTTCCCGACCAAACCTAATGCTTTAATTTTTTATTCTTATATTCTCAAGAAAAATAAGTACATGTAACATAAACTTTTGGCAACTTCAAGTTATTTGGCGCCTGGGTGAAAATCAGGCATTGTACCTGCCTTCTGCCAATCATGACTGTATACATATCATTAAATAGAAAGTAAAATATTGTTTAAATTTAATTATTATAATTATTATATTAATCAGAAAATTAAATATTATTTAAATAGAAAGTTATATTTAATTAATAAATATATATTTAAAATTAATATATTTAGTTAAATATTGTTAGTTAAGTTATTTAGCACATATAAACTTTTTTTTAACAGTTTAATTTAATATTTTATTAACAATTATATATTTTTATAATTTTACTACTTGAGATATTAAAATGGCATCAAAAATATTATTTAGAAAAAATAGTTAATATTTGATTTGTACATGGGGTGATGGGCCAATGTTTCTTTAAAACAATGAGTGTAGACTCAGAAAGACCATTTTTTGACTTAGACCTGTGGTATTGTTAACACCAAGGGTTAATAATTGTTAAAACCACAGGTTGATGATTGTTAAAACCACAGGTTGATGATTGTTAAAACCACAGGTTGATGATTGTTAAAACCACAGGTTGATAATTGTTAAAACCACAGGTTGATGATTGTTAAAACCACAGGTTGATGATTGTTAAAACCACAGGTTGATGATTGTTAAAACCACAGGTTGATAATTGTTAAAACCACAGGTTGATGATTGTTAAAACCACAGGTTGATGATTGTTAAAACCACAGGTTGATGATTGTTAAAACCACAGGTTGATGATTGTTAATACCACAGGTTGATGATTGTTAAAACCACAGGTTGATGATTGTTAAACCACAGGTTGATGATTGTTAATACCACAGGTTGATGATTGTTAAAACCACAGGTTGATGATTGTTAATACCACAGGTTGATGATTGTTAATACCACAGGTTGATGATTGTTAAAACCACAGGTTGATGATTGTTAAAACCACAGGTTGATGATTGTTAAAACCACAGGTTGATGATTGTTAAAACCACAGGTTGATGATTGTTAAAACCACAGGTTGATGATTGTTAAAACTCTTAAGATCTATTGTTCAAAATTTTAGCTTTCTAATAATAGATTTTAGCTTTCTAATAATAGATTTTAGCTTTCTAATAATAGATTTTGGCTTTCTAATAATAGATTTTAGCTTTCTAATAATAGATTTTAGCTTTCTAATAATAGATTTTAGCTTTCTAATAATAGATTTTAGCTTTCTAATAATAGATTTTAGCTTTCTAATAATAGACTTTAGCTTTCTAATAATAGATTTTAGCTTTCTAATAATAGATTTTAGCTTTCTAATAATAGATTTTAGCTTTCTAATAATAGATTTTAGCTTTCTAAAAGACTCAAAATAGCTTCTATTTTTAACAATTAATTTTACTATTATTATTAATAGTTAAGTTAATTAAAACTAAAATAAATATACATATATAATAAATATACACATTAGCATTTTTTTTTAATTATTCTTATATTATTCTTATATTTTTTTCAGTCTTGTATTAGTGTATGCATACTTTTTATTTTGCAGTCAATATTTTATTTTGTAAGTTTTTGTTTGGTGATATATTTGTTGTCTCCCTTAAAGTGTTAATTGTCTGATATAAATTTCTGTTTTAGATCTATCTCTGCATAAATGAAAATACAGGCAAAAAGCTAGCTATGAAATGTGATGAGATTGAAAACATTAATGATAATGATTTTTTTATTTATATTTTTTGCTATAGCAAAACAAGAAATTTCTGAAAATTTTTATATGAAGTTTTACTTTTTCAAATTTTAACTGCATATAAAATGTTAAGTTGTATCTATTGGAATTTGAGCAGTTTCAAATAGCTCCTGGTAGTAAAAAGCTTTAAGTAAACTTACCCTATTCCTTTAACTACAAGTTGTGGCACAGTTTCAACATACCCTCGATCTTTTACTTTTGTAGTACTGTAAGCTAAATCATATAGTGAATTTTAAATATTTATATCTGCACTTACACACATACACACATGCACGCACACAGGGTGTGTGCATGCATGTGTGTATGTAAGTATATATATATATATATATATATATATATATATATATATATATATATATATATATATATATATATATATATATATATATATATACTATATATATAATATATATAATATATATATAATATATATATACAGGCCTTGCGATAAAGTGTCGGGCGATGTGAATTTTACATCGTCCAAGAGTGGTTTTGCGTGTAGCTAGGGCTATTTGCGTCAAGCAAAAAATTTTTTGTTTGAGTATATTTAAAGATATTTTTGAGCGGAATTTTAATGAAGTAATTTACGATTATTTTAACATTTAATAAAGTATTTTAAAAACCGCACGCAGTTGATATAAAAGTTTAAATTACAAAAAAATTAAATGTGCTCATTATTTACAAGTAGAAAAAAATCAGATAAAAAAAAAAGTTTAAATCTTTTTAAGCTAACATTTTAATAAAATTATTCAGCAATAGCAAAGTTGTCGATAAGATTGAACAAAAATACTTTCTTTTAGTTTTAGATTTTTAACTTAAATAATTATTTTACGGGGGTTTGTTAGGTTTTAAAATTATTCCATAGATTTAAAAATATTTATTAACTGTTAGACGTATTTAAAGTATTTAAGAGTAATTTCGAGGAAACATTTTAAAAATTGGTAAGCGCAAATAAAAAAAATAAAAGGATTAATATTAAAACGTATTCTACTTGATTCAATAAAAAAGTACAGCTATTAAAATTTTTGTAAAAAGTAACTCGAAAAAAATTACTTAAATAATAACAATCGCTTTTTTGTTAAAAGTTACCGAAACTCAACAAAGCGTGCTTATGAACAGCTGCTGAAAAATAGAATGTCAATAGTTTTTTAAATAATTTTTAAGAATAATTTTAAAGAATAATTTTTTCGCTGAAAATGTCTTTTATACCTATAAGATTTTTATTATAACATTTTATTTTATTTTACCAAAAATAAAATTCCTTGTAAACATTAAAAATTTATTCAAAACGTTTGTTAAAGTTTTTTAGTAATACGAGTGATTGTGCTTATCAACTGCTTTATGAAAATAAATAAAAATAAAAAAATATTATATAAAATCGCTAGTAAAAATATTAGCTATTGCACAGTTTTTAATCGTACAATATTAAAATTTCCAGTTTATAACTCGCTGACTTTTTAAAAAGAAAAAATAATTATTTGAAAAACTTTAAATTACATATTTGAGAAAAAAAAAATCAAATATTAGCATACTTTATAATCTTTTTTAAACGTTTAGTTATGTTTTTTATTCGTTTAGTATAGACAAAACGTGTCAAACGTCGAGAAAATAAACAAATGTTTTAACATTTTAAAAAACAAAACATTCCAAAATATTTTTAAATAATAGCATTTCTACATAAATGATTTAACGTAGTTTTGCGGTAATTAAGTAAATTGGTGCAGTTAATGTCAATAAATATGAAAAGCAAATAAAAAGAATTTAATGACGTCAAAAATCACGTCATGCTTATGCGTCGCGCAGTTTTTATTCATCACAAGGCCTGATATTATATATATGTATATTATATATATGTATATTATATATATGTATATTATATATATGTATATAATATATATATATATATATATATATATATATATATATATATATATATATATATATATATATATATAATATATATATATATATATATAGATATATATAGATATATATATAGATATATATATTTATATTATAATATTGTATTATATATATAAAATACAATATTATTTAAATATTTTTGTTGTTTTAAATTTTGTTTAAATTATTTGAAACTTAATTAAAAAATTTTTTGTAACAGGCATCTAAAATGCTAAAGTGGGATTAGCCTCCCTCAATTTTATCCTTTGCCCCGTTTGTGACCTTTTTTCTGATTGTTTTCTTTTTTTTTTATAGAACAAATATTCTTGAACAAATTTTTTTTTTGTAAAATTCATTTAAAATGCTTAAATGGGGTAAGATTTTACCCTTAATTTTACCCTTTTGTCTCATTTATGGCTTTTAGCACATTCAGTTTTATTCTATTGTATAAAAAAGCTTTATTCTATTGTTATAAAACAAATACTCTAGAATAAAAAAGGTTTCAATTGAGTGACAGAACACACAAACCTGGGCCACAGGCACTCATTAAATTTTTAAACCTAAGCATCACGCCTTTGCATATAAATATATATGAATTTGTTATTTTATTAGACACTTTTCAAACTTGTACTAGTGTTCAATGAGTTTAATGAATAAACCAATCAAAATACTTATTAAAATAACTTAGATGAGAACCTTTAGATAAAAACAAGTCTTGAAAAAATATTAACCATGTTATTCAAAATAAAAAGCATTATAAAAAAATTACATAGTAAAACTACAATAACAACTTATACTGATAAAGTTAAAATAATTTGACTAGTCACTTGTTTAAAAAATCAATTAACTTGTGTTGATACATGTGAAAATTCACTTTTTTTGTATTTTATAATTAAAAACCTTCAAAATTGAAATAGATTTTTTATTGAGACACCATTGTGTAGATTAACTACTGATGAAACCAATAATCTTATGATTCATAAAATTTTTAACACTGACATATTCAAGTTTCTTGACAGTAATAAAGGATATATTATAATTTGTAAATCTAAGTTTGAATGAGTTTTTACTTAAACCAAGTTAGGCTATTTCAATAAGATTTGGATTAGGTAAAAGTTGATTCACACATTTTTGATAAGTAATAATTTTTAAAATTTATTTTTTTATTATTAGCGCATATTTTGACAAACTAGTTTTGATGTATATTTTGACAAACTGGTTTCAAACTTTCAAGATGAGATTTAAAATGTTTCCATACCTACTATGGTAGCAGTTGTATGGGAAGCGCCCATATCAAAAAACATCACATGCTAAAAAATTAAAAACACAAAAAAACTTTATTAAAAAAACATAATCACATATAAAAGTAGATCAAAATAAACAATTGTTTTTCTGTTTTATTATAAAAATCTCAAAATAAACAACTACCTTTTCTGTTTCATTAAAAGAAGAAGCTCGAAATATACCATAATTTAGTGCAACTAGAAAAATAAAAAATTATTATAATAAAATTGACAAAATTCACACTGTGACATGCCACTATAACATATTGCCTTTTATAAAATACTTATACAACTCAATTAGATTTAAATAAATAAAAAAATATTTATCAAACATTAAAACAACTTCCAAACAACTACTATCTTCCAATGGGTAAAGTTTGTAAATAGAGGAATTTATAATACTATAAAAGGATATGTGTAAAAATCTTCAGCAAATAATTAGCCTAAAAAGTATATAAGGAAATAATTTGTTTTGCCATTTAATCTTAATTATCTTCATTTTGAATTTAAAAAAATGGGTTTTTAATTTATTTTGCTGATTTTTTTTTTAATTTGTTTTGCTAATGTGTTTTTAATTTGTTTTGCTGTGTTTTTTAAATTAATTTGTTAAGAATTTAAGTAAAAAGTTTTTCTTTTTTTAAATTTAAAGTAAAAGCTTAAAAAATAATATAAGAAATGAAAATAGATCAAGTTGAAGATGAAAGGCTATGTTACTAATGTTAAAGAGTGGACACGCCAAGAATATGCCAAAAAAAAAAAAAAACAGAGGGAAAAAATGATTTAAGAACACATTTAAGAAAAAATATCAATAATGAAAAACCACATTTAAGAAAAAATAACAATAATGCATGAACTCGACTTCCAACCTAAAACTCTTTACAACAGATCCAGTCTTTTTTTAAATATTTTTTGGCATAAAATATGATTATGAAAATAAGTTTAAAGTATGAGAAAAAATAATTGGTACAAGTACAAAACAACAACAACAAAAAAAGTCAATTAATAGGTTTGGTTTCACTTATGCAAAATAAAAAATAAAAGATGCAATCAGTATTAGACTTTAGGGAGTTAAACATAATTATTAAAGCATTCGCAACACAGACAAGTTTGCTAAACTTCAAGATCGAAATTCTAAAGAAAAGGCTTCAATAATTGTATTATCTTCAGTCTACATCCAACTCAAAATTGATGAGAGAAACTCTGAACTTATATAATTAGGATAATACAGGTATTTGAGGAAGAAACTCTGGGCTTATGGAATTATGGCATGGATAAAATTTTTGTTTAAAACAATTAGAATTTAGCCTAATTGTAAAGCATCATAACAATTAAAAAACCCATCATGAAAGCTATTTTTTTATTATTTTTTAATTTTTAATTGTGGTTACAACCCAATCTAATCTCAGTATTCCCCCAAAATATTAATGAACAAGGTTGCTGAGCGGTGAAACAAGCTGAGCACTGTACTATAAGGGATGTGAAGAGCGCTCTACTACTACGCCACTACCACTTATAAAAGAGTACCGCACCATTTATAAAAGAGTACCACACCACTTATAAAAGAGTACCGAACCACTTATAAAAGAGTACCACACCACTTAAAAGAGTACCGCACCACTTATAAAAGATTATTGCACCACTTATAAAAGTTAAACTAAATAATTAGATACAATTATAAATGTGCATGAAATTAGATTTATTAAAATAAATAATAAAGAACAAACAAAACAATTACCTGCTGTATTGTCATTTATCAACTGCAATACATTCAATCCTGTCATGTTAGCTGCACTATAAAGATAAAAAGCATTTTTTTATATAAAGTTTATATTGAACATTCGTCTAAACATAAAAAATTTAGTTAAAAGATAGCTTCAATAAATTCAAAAGCAAAAAAATAATACTCTAAAAGTGCTCTTCGCTCTGCCTGAGTAAAAAAGACTGGAACAGTTAAAACACAGTCTTTCATTGGATGATCTAAATTTAAAAAAACACAACTAAATATTTCATTTATTTATTCTTTTAAATATATTTTAACTTTACAATAACAACCTTAGACCTACAAATGCCTGATGCTTATATACCTGCAAAATTTTCGGCAATTTGTCTTGTTGAATTAAGTATCATTGCAAAAAGCTCTTCAACTGAGTGCAATTGTTCGCTAAATAAATATAAAAAAATTATGAAAGAATATTTACTTTAAAAAAATCACAAAAGAGAAAAAAAAAGATGCTTACTCATCTCCTTTGAACAAAGCCGTTCCTAAAGAATCATTTTTGTAAATGTTGAAAATAAAAAATAAAACAAATTACAAAAAACAAAAAATAAAACAAAATATCCCACAGTAAAGTCATTAAAAAGAAGAGTAATGATAACAAAAGAACTAAGAACTACTTAGCTTAGTATTAAACAAAAGAACTAAGAACGACTTAGCTTAGTATCAAACAAAAGAACTAAGAACTACTTAGCTTAGTATCAAACAAAAGAACTAAGAACGACTTAGCTTAGTATCAAACAAAAGAACTAAGAACGACTTAGCTTAGTATCAAACAAAAGAACTAAGAACTACTTAGCTTAGTATCAAACAAAAGAACTAAGAACTACTTAGCTTAGTATCAAACAAAAGAACTAAGAACTACTTAGCTTAGTATCAAACAAAAGAACTAAGAACGACTTAGCTTAGTATCAAACAAAAGAACTAAGAACGACTTAGCTTAGTATCAAACAAAAGAACTAAGAACTACTTAGCTTAGTATCAAACAAAAGAACTAAGAACTACTTAGCTTAGTATCAAACAAAAGAACTAAGAACGACTTAGCTTAGTATCAAACAAAAGAACTAAGAACGACTTAGCTTAGTATCAAACAAAAGAACTAAGAACTACTTAGCTTAGTATCAAACAAAAGAACTAAGAACTACTTAGCTTAGTATTAAACAAAAGAACTAAGAACGACTTAGCTTAGTATTAAACAAAAGAACTAAGAACTACTTAGCTTAGTATCAAACAAAAGAACTAAGAACTACTTAGCTTAGTATCAAACAAAAGAACTAAGAACTACTTAGCTTAGTATCAAACAAAAGAACTAAGAACTACTTAGCTTAGTATTAAACAAAAGAACTAAGAACTACTTAGCTTAGTATCAAACAAAAGAACTAAGAACTACTTAGCTTAGTATTAAACAAAAGAACTAAGAACTACTTAGCTTAGTATTAAACAAAAGAACTAAGAACGACTTAGCTTAGTATCAAACAAAAGAACTAAGAACTACTTAGCTTAGTATTAAACAAAAGAACTAAGAACTACTTAGCTTAGTATTAAACAAAAGAACTAAGAACTACTTAGCTTAGTATCAAACAAAAGAACTAAGAACTACTTAGCTTAGTATTAAACAAAAGAACTAAGAACGACTTAGCTTAGTATCAAACAAAAGAACTAAGAACTACTTAGCTTAGTATCAAACAAAAGAACTAAGAACTACTTAGCTTAGTATCAAACAAAAGAACTAAGAACGACTTAGCTTAGTATCAAACAAAAGAACTAAGAACTACTTAGCTTAGTATCAAACAAAAGAACTAAGAACGACTTAGCTTAGTATTAAACAAAAGAACTAAGAACGACTTAGCTTAGTATCAAACAAAAGAACTAAGAACTACTTAGCTTAGTATCAAACAAAAGAACTAAGAACTACTTAGCTTAGTATCAAACAAAAGAACTAAGAACGACTTAGCTTAGTATCAAACAAAAGAACTAAGAACTACTTAGCTTAGTATCAAACAAAAGAACTAAGAACGACTTAGCTTAGTATCAAACAAAAGAACTAAGAACTACTTAGCTTAGTATTAAACAAAAGAACTAAGAACGACTTAGCTTAGTATCAAACAAAAGAACTAAGAACTACTTAGCTTAGTATGAAACAAAAGAACTAAGAACTACTTAGCTTAGTATCAAACAAAAGAACTAAGAACGACTTAGCTTAGTATCAAACAAAAGAACTAAGAACTACTTAGCTTAGTATCAAACAAAAGAACTAAGAACGACTTAGCTTAGTATTAAACAAAAAAACTAAGAACTACTTAGCTTAGTATCAAACAAAAGAACTAAGAACTACTTAGCTTAGTATCAAACAAAAGAACTAAGAACGACTTAGCTTAGTATCAAACAAAAGAACTAAGAACTACTTAGCTTAGTATCAAACAAAAGAACTAAGAACGACTTAGCTTAGTATCAAACAAAAGAACTAAGAACTACTTAGCTTAGTATTAAACAAAAGAACTAAGAACGACTTAGCTTAGTATTAAACAAAAGAACTAAGAACTACTTAGCTTAGTATTAAACAAAAGAACTAAGAACTACTTAGCTTAGTATCAAACAAAAGAACTAAGAACGACTTAGCTTAGTATTAAACAAAAGAACTAAGAACGACTTAGCTTAGTATTAAACAAAAGAACTAAGAACTACTTAGCTTAGTATTAAACAAAAGAACTAAGAACTACTTAGCTTAGTATCAAACAAAAGAACTAAGAACGACTTAGCTTAGTATCAAACAAAAGAACTAAGAACGACTTAGCTTAGTATCAAACAAAAGAACTAAGAACTACTTAGCTTAGTATCAAACAAAAGAACTAAGAACTACTTAGCTTAGTATCAAACAAAAGAACTAAGAACTACTTAGCTTAGTATTAAACAAAAGAACTAAGAACGACTTAGCTTAGTATTAAACAAAAGAACTAAGAACTACTTAGCTTAGTATTAAACAAAAGAACTAAGAACTACTTAGCTTAGTATCAAACAAAAGAACTAAGAACTACTTAGCTTAGTATCAAACAAAAGAACTAAGAACTACTTAGCTTAGTATCAAACAAAAGAACTAAGAACTACTTAGCTTAGTATTAAACAAAAGAACTAAGAACTACTTAGCTTAGTATCAAACAAAAGAACTAAGAACTACTTAGCTTAGTATCAAACAAAAGAACTAAGAACTACTTAGCTTAGTATCAAACAAAAGAACTAAGAACTACTTAGCTTAGTATTAAACAAAAGAACTAAGAACTACTTAGCTTAGTATCAAACAAAAGAACTAAGAACTACTTAGCTTAGTATCAAACAAAAGAACTAAGAACGACTTAGCTTAGTATCAAACAAAAGAACTAAGAACTACTTAGCTTAGTATCAAACAAAAGAACTAAGAACTACTTAGCTTAGTATCAAACAAAAGAACTAAGAACTACTTAGCTTAGTATCAAACAAAAGAACTAAGAACTACTTAGCTTAGTATCAAACAAAAGAACTAAGAACTACTTAGCTTAGTATTAAACAAAAGAACTAAGAACTACTTAGCTTAGTATCAAACAAAAGAACTAAGAACTACTTAGCTTAGTATCAAACAAAAGAACTAAGAACTACTTAGCTTAGTATCAAACAAAAGAACTAAGAACTACTTAGCTTAGTATCAAACAAAAGAACTAAGAACTACTTAGCTTAGTATTAAACAAAAGAACTAAGAACTACTTAGCTTAGTATTAAACAATTCATTTAAACTGATTAAATTCTATTTACAATTGAATTGTCAAAACTTAACTAAATTTTGTCAAGCTTATAACTGAACTGCCAATAAAAGATAAAGAGGTGAAATATGAAATTTAAAGTTCAATACAACATTTACACAATAGATAAACTTTTTTGTTTGGGAATATTTATAGATATTTTTAAACTGTATTTTAAAGAAGTAGTTAACATTTTAAAAACTGCATGCTGTTGTGACAAAAATTTTAATTAAAATGCACAAAATATGTTTTGATATTAAAAAATAATATTTAATATTAGAAAATAAATTTTATATAAAAATTATTTTTTAATATTAAATAAAGATAATCAAAAAAGTACCGATCAATACTGATGATGATGATAATGATGATGATGATGATGATTAATACTGATTAATGTTAATGTGTAATATACTTTTTTTTAAATAATATAAGATGCTTAGAGCATAGGCACAAACTAAACATTATAATAAAAGAAATTTAGGTGACCATAGGTGATCAAAAAGTTTGTTGATCTATTGTTTTAGTACAGCTGATTACTGGTTATAAATGATATTAAAACAAATATATTTATTACCTCTGATCTCGTCTTTATATAGTTTGTAATATGGAAACCTAAACAAAGTAGTAAAATATTGGAAAAATAAAAAACATATTTTGAAGATCAAAACAAAAAACTCTTACCACTGCTATCATTTAGATGAGGCAAAATTAAAAAATTTAAAACATTTTTCAGTTTTTATAACAAAATTACAAATAAGCTTACCTCTTCATGTATGTTTGAACTGCTAAACTGTCATATTTCTTCCCAAGAATATGCATAAGATAGAGATAGGCATTTTCTGGATGTTTAACAGACTACAATAAAAAGTTTTGAAATCTACAAATAATTATATAAATAAATATTTTAAACTTTTACATTATTTTTTTTCTAAATCATTAACTATTTATTACAAAATTATTTATCAATATTATTTGTATTATAATATATTAAATGTATTGCTATTTTTGTTTTCATAATTACTGGAGTTGGTGTCAAAAACATATTTTTCTTTGTATTCTTATTATCATAATTACTAGGGTTAAAAAAATATGCTAGTTTAGTGTATTTATATTTGTTTTCATTTGATTAAAAAATTTCTTAAATATTTGTATTTGTAATTCAATAAGCTAAATTAACAGGTATTTTTTTGGGAGGTATAATATAAGTATAGTGTAATATAGTATAAGATGAAGTATGTTGTTTTTTAATTTTTTTCACTTAATAAAAAAATTGTTTATAAGGAATAGTTGTTAGAAGACTTATTTTCATTCTTCTATTTAGTAGACCATTTTATCAACCTTGTCTTGAAAAATACTTATATTTTTTATTAACCTTAAGTACAGACATTTGGAAATCTAGAATTAATCTACTCGTATTTATATTTGATTAAATGTATTTGACCCCCTGATAATTACTAAAGATTACAAAAACATAGAAACAGCAATTACAGTTTAAAAATTGTCAATTTTTTATGTAACTTTTATTTATTTATAAAACTACTAACAACTGCCATTGCAGGATCACTAAACAATCTTTCATCGTTTTTTATTGAAACAACAAAAGGTGTTTTTCGTCTAGATTCCCTATAAAAGAAATAAACAAAACACATTACAGAAATATTGATATAAAATAACACATGATCAAAAAATGTAAAACATCGAGGTGCTACATACTGAAAAAATATTTTTTTTTAATTTTTAATTTATAAAGAAAAATTTAAAAATTAGAAGAAAAAAAAAATAATAATAATACTTATTTAGTGCTATCTCCATGGGAACTCCAGGCTAAATAAAAAAATAAACATTTTAAAAAAACAAAAAAAATATTTACAGAACATTATTTACCCAAGTTGTTAACTATTTACATTTATTTGTTTGTTATGACTTTATTGACATGCTTACATTTTGTTTTATTGTAAAAAATACAACTTTGTAACTCTTAACTTCTTTTCAAAGGTATTTTGAAAATAAAAACAAAAAAACAATTAGACCCATTATTAATCATTACCATATATTATTAAATAGTTGATGACTATTATAATGCAGAAAAATTTATTTGGACAAAAGTATGCAAGCTAGATTGTTGAAGAAGTAGACTGGTTATAGAGAGAAATCTCATTTTGTTTAAAAATAAAGACAATCAAAACTTTACATAGATCCAAGTAATTGAATCATTAAATGCATATTAATGTAAATGTCTGGGGATTGCTTCTCTAGAAACTAATATTAACTTTAATTAATATATGTTTAGTTGATTTTTAATTTTAATTCATTCCTAACAAGGCTGCAAACAGCCATTATTAAGTGTTCGGAGTTACTAGAAAAAAAACAAAAAAAATTGTTAAAGCACAAGGAAATGGTTGACAAAAGATTTGAAAAGTTCAAGATTGTAGAAATCAAGAAAACATGAAAATAGGAGAGAGTTCCAAAGCGATGAAGTGCATTAAAAACAACAAGACAAATAAAAATTTTTTAGAGCATGCAGGGATGGATACAGTAAAAACAGACTTTGTTGAATGATGAGTCAAGCAAGAATAAGTTTTGATTAATGGAACTAGAGATGATAGCTTCTTTGAGCAGCTACCATGATAGTATTTGTAGAAGAGAATAAGACACAACCTTACAACAATGGGAGAGAAGCTCAACAACAACAACAACAATAAGCTATTTATTTTCTGTAAATCATTTTTACAATAGTTTAGATAACTATATTAATAACAATAATAATATTAATAATGTTAATATAAGATAAAAAATTAATACAAATTATAATAATCATAGATGAGTATTTGACTTTATGAAAATCCCGGAAATTTTTTTTAATGAAAATCCCGGAAAATTATTTTATTAAAAATTGATCGTATTAAGTGAAAACAAAAACTTTCGTAAATTTTTAAAACAGAACTTAGATTTTTTAACTTTTTACAAATCGAATTTTTAATATTCAAAAAAGTAAATTTGAATAAATTAAAAAGCAAAAAAAAACAAAGAAAAAAAATTGTTACGAAAATTGATCTCGTAAAAATTTTAACTATAGAAAACATATTTGTTTAAATCCAAAAGTTGTTGTTTTTGAAATTTTATGTAAAAATATAACTTTTTTTCAAACTAATAACTAAAAACATCCGGAAATTCTGGAAAATTAAGGTAGTTTTGAGTGAATTTCCGGAATTCCGGGAATTCTCGGAAAAAACTCATCTATGAATAATAGTAACAATAAGTATATTTACAATAATTACAATCAAAAAATAATAATAAATATTATAGCGATAGTTATGAGCATAAAATTATTTATAATAACAAGTTAATGATTTATTAGGATGGTGTCACTCATACACCAATAAATCTGATCAAAGGAGTGACACCAATTTTTAAACATAATATAAGTAATGATAAGCAATGACATACATTGAAACACACAGAATTAAACACGATTAAAGCACATAAAACATTAAAACAAACATGTAAAAATCATAATTTGCAGATTTAATAAAAAAAATACAAAAATAAAAAAAAAAGTACTGATGATGATTGTAGAAATGACAAAAAGAAATTTAAAAGAATATTTTAATCGTAAGGATAAAATGTCTAAAAGTTAGAATATAAAGTTTTTCTGAATTTTTTTAAATTGATATTGTTTAAGATAGAATAAAGATATTTTAGGATATAGTTTTTTGGATTCATTCAAAATGCAGGCAAGGGGTTAGGGTTAGGGTTACTATTGCAATAAGAATAATAAGAAACATTAGTATAAAGATGTGTGTTAGTATTAAAATGATAATAATAATAAAGAAAGTTATTTTTTTAATATTACCTTAACAATTCCAATTTTAAGCCATTCACTGCCCAAATCAACTGACATAACAGCAATAGATACTGAAACAAAAAAACCCACTGTATTAAATGTTTATTAAAACATAAAAACACTCACTGTATTAACTGTTCATAAAACATAAAAATACTCACTGTATTAACTGTTCATAAAACATAAAAACACTCACTGTAGTAACTGTTCATAAAACATAAAAACACTCACTGTATTAACTGTTCATAAAACATAAAAATACTCACTGTATTAACTGCTCATATAGCATAAAAACACTCACTGTTTATAAAACATAATATTAAGTGTTCATAAAACATAAAAACACTCACTGTAGTAACTGTTCATAAAACATAAAAACACTCACTGCATTAACTGTTCATTAAAAAAAAAAAAAAAAATTAATGCTAATTTTGTTATAACAAATTTAGGGTTCTGACTAGCATTTAGATAACCTTTAAATAAATGTTTGCATATAAAAAGACAAAATAAGCAGCAATTTTTAACTATGATATTTGATATTTTAGTTATAAGTTGTAAAACCATCTAAAAAATAATTTATGCAAAATACGGATATCATAACTACAACTATGCAAAGACGAAATTTCCCAATTTTCAAACTTTCCTTTACTTAATCTTTCTCATCTTTAAAGGTTCTTTATTTTAAACTGGTTTTAAATTGCATTGTCATCGGGTTCTGAGCTATCCTGAAAGTTTCAGAGCTCTAGCTAGTCGGGAAGTGAAAAAAAATTTATGTCATCGATATATTCTATTTTCAGTGTCTTTGGTTTAATATAAATAAACACTCAAATCAAACAAAAAAAAGTTTACTAAGATTTCATAAAACCAATTTGAAAGGTAAAAAACATATTATAGTTGTAAAAAATGAAAAAAGTTTATAAAAAAGTGTATGAAAGTGTATAAACGAATTTTAAATAGAAATAAAGTACTATAATATAATGTAAATCCCTCACAGAGGTTTGTGGACAAACTCTGAATGCTTACTTCGATGAATTAGAGAAGACATTAGAAGGCATTGAGAGTATTCCCAAAACTATGGTGGTATATATCTCAAAATGTTTATCAAGAATGGACCAGAGTTGGCCCAGAATGAACTTGCTTTGACAACACAAAGTCAGGCTGGTTCGATTCAAGAACCTTCAAATGCTGGTTTCTGGAAATAAATCTTCATCATGTGAGTAAAGATCATGGATTAAAGTCATCATTAGTAACAATCTTGCCTTTCATTTTTCCTTCCAGTCATTGAAGCGGCCCAAATAAATATTATTTGTTTCACCTGTTTGGTACCAAATGCAAGTCATCTTCATCTTCAACCATTGGATGTCGCAGTCTTTGGGTCCATGAAGAAAAAGTAGGGGAGAATCCTGGAATGTTGGTGAAAAGAAAGTTGCATTTTCCTTGGTTGAAGTTGTATCAAGGGCTGAAAGCACTAAACCTGATTGTGGCTTGCGGAATATCTCCAATAAAGAGATGAAGTCTTAAATTGGAAAGTTGATATTTGATTGAAATGACATTTACTATCAAAGTAACCCTGACATGCCGGTTACATTTATAACTGTTTGGGCTTCATAACAATAAATAAACAGGTTCATATATTTCTGAAAAACATTTTTTTTTGTTAAGGAGAGATCATATAGTTTATAAGTTAGAATCAAAATAAATAAAATTGTCATGTTTAATTTAATTTTACATCTATTCATTTAAAAAAAAATTATTTTAATTACCTGTTTTATAAATGCATAACATTAATATAAAAAAATTAATATATTTGAATGAATTGCTTGACAACACCATCTTCTAAATTATGCTAAATAAGAAACACATAACATGAATTTTGTTTGATATATAAATATAAATATAAATATAAATATAAATATATATATATATATATATATATATATATATATATATATATATATATATATATATATATATATATATATATATATATATATATATATATATATATATATATATATATATATACACAGTGGCATAGGAAGGTTTTTAAATGTTTGAAATTACTTTTAAACAAAAAGAAAATTCCAAATTTTTTTACATTTATATGTATGACAAAAAGATTCTTCACAAAAAAAATTACTGTGATAGGAGAATGGTAATATTAATATAAACTAGTTATGTATTCATCAACAGATTTCAAATCTTATGTTTTTATGACCATGTAAAGTTTGTGGCCCCCTAATATTGAGGGGGGGTTATTCTTTAGATGGTCATTAAAACTAAACTCTGAATAATTTAAACATAAAATTTAAAATCTGTTGATGAATGCATAACTAGATTATTTTTATGAAAAAATAAATAATTCAACTTATTGCCCTCATGTTTAAGGTAGGAGGGCTAAGATTTTAGGGTTTCTTGACCCCATTCTCCTATCACAGTAATTCTATTTTGTGAAGAATCTTTTCATCAGACATATGAACGCAAAAAAATTTGGAATAATCTTTTTGTTGGTTATTTCAAACGTTGTAATTTCAAAAGTTAGTCATTTCAAACATTTAAAAACCTTCCTTCGCCACAATATATATATATATATATATATATATATATATATATATATATATATATATATATATATATATATATATATATATATATATATATATATATATATATATATATATATATATATATATATATATATATATATATATATATATATATATATATATATATATATATATATATATATATATATATATATATTTGTATATAAATACATGTTTCTTTTTATATAGCTAATAATATATGTTTATGTACACACAGTGCATAATGCATCATACACACACTGTGTAAAAATCTCCAGTAAATATCAAGCGTAAATGATAAATAAAATATTGTACAATAATAGATTTTAAATCTGTAAATTCGAAAAAAAGCAAACTCATCCAAATAAATTATGAGTCTTCTTGAAGATACATGAGTTGCAGACCCAATACGTTTTCAACAACATTGGAGTTTCGCGGCGAGTTGTGATTGGTGGCTTTTTATAAAAAAAACTAATTGTACAATTTTTTCAGATTTTAGAAAAACGATAAAATTCAAAGAAACATTTTCAATACCGAAAGTTCTTCATTTTTCTAGCGCTGAGAATCATTGTGAGTCATAGTTCAGTCAATGGCATTTTTAGCTCATTGCATCAATAAAAACTAGTTTGTCGAAATTGATATAAGTTAGTTTTAAATTTTTTGACACTGTTTTTATATCTAGGTTTAGAAAAATATCTTTACCAAAGCTTTAAAATATTCAAGTTCACCGTGCTTCTATTACCCAGGCAGTATAGAGAGTCCTGTATTACTTCTACCAGCGCCCTGAGCAAGATTTCTACATCACCCCCTGACTCAATCTAGACTCATAAAAAAAAAAAAAAGAATAAGGCAAAGGATATAAGAAAGGAAATAATAATGCAAAGGATATAAGTAACCAATTAGAAAAGAAAAAACCATTTTACTTTTCTAGCCTTTTTCCAATAAATTCTTATATTAGGCTATCAAAGTCGATTTTTGTAACGATTTCATTTTCGATTGTCAAAGCTGTTACTTTTTAAATAAATCTAGGTACTTAAAAAAAGGAAAAAAAAGCTTCTTTTTTTTCAGTATATCTTAATTTTTTGGGGGAGAAGTGGGGATTTAGGAATTTAATTAAATGTTGACGTAAATTTAAACCCCAAAAAAATGTCTACAATTTTTGGACAGTCTCTAAGCAACCGTTACGGCTATAGCCTATAGCGATGCTGATCATACATTTAGCTCTTTTGCACTTATATATAATATTTGTAAACAGTAAAAATATACATATTATACTGAAAATGATATATGAGGGATAAAAGGCATTATATTTACACCCTATAACTATATATTTTCAAAAAAAAAAAACAAAAAAAACAGAGATTGTCTCTTTTAAAAAAAAAAAGAAATACTAATGATGGCGGATACAAAGATCACGTGACTTTTGCGAGAAAAAAAGTCTGGCTTTTTGCCTTGAAAAAAGTTAATATCATACTTATCAAAACTTAAAACTTCTAGTGGTACATTCTGTAAAGTTAAAACTTCTAGTGGTACATTCTGTAAAGTTAAAACTTTTAGTGGTACATTTCTGTAAAGTTAAAACTTCTAGTGGTACATTCTGTAAAGTTAAAACTTCTAGTGGTACATTCTGTAAAGTTAAAACTTCTAGTGGTACATTCTGCAAAGTTAAAACTTCTAGTGGTACATTCTGTAAAGTTAAAACTTCTAGTGGTACATTCTGTAAAGTTAAAACTTCTAGTGGTATATTCTGTAAAGTTAAAACTTCTAGTGGTACATTCTGTAAAGTTAAAACTTCTAGTCGTACATTCTGTAAAGTTAAAACTTCTAGTCGTACATTCTGTAAAGAAAATAGATAAAAAATTAAAGTGCTCAAGCATTTAAAAATCTTTAAGGAATCAAAAATTATCAACAAACTAGCCAGGACCACAAAAACTTAACAAAACATAATACCACAAAAAACAGCTTTGTACCATAAAAGGAATCAAACTTGCACTCCAAAACTATATATATTTTTAAAAAATAAACTCAAAGACATTATAAATCTTTATTTATAAATTAAAATATCAGTGTTAGCGGACATTACAATCCGTGAATTTTTCAAAAAAAAAAATTTTAATCAAAATCAAACACTCTAAAAAAAACTCTATAAAATGAAGTAGTTTTGATTTATGGCTTTGCTAAAAAAAAAAAAAAATTTAATTATTATTTTATTACTACAGGGTCGTTTCAGTGCGAAAGAGTTAGATATAGTTCTTGTAGGTTGTGATCTTTGATAAAAATTTAAAACAAAACCAGGAGTAACTTTTTCAAACTAAAGAATTAGTAAATTTTCAAACTAAAGAATTCATCGCACAACATAAAATTAAAACATACAACATACAATTATCCATATCTGATTTAGATATGTCCTCAGTTTTTTTTAATTTGAGATTACCACAAAGGTTGGCAAAGTCAAGTTTTTCAAAAATTTGTTTTGTATTGTATAAAGAATACCATGATTCTGAAGAATGATTCCTAGATTTGACTGATCGGTAGTTAGTGGACGATCTGACATTTAACGATCGATGTGATATTTAACGGTAGTTAGTGGAAGTTAAAATTTATGACTTTTTACGGTTTTTATTCTGTCCTGCTGACTAAAAAAAGAACAGTTTTTTTTAATTAAATGGTTTTCTGTTTTATATTTTTTAAACTAATAGTGTACGAAGTAGCTGAAGAAAAAATCTCAACATCATAAAATGACTTCAATTTATCATCGAAGTTGTGAATTTCGTCGGGATATTTTGTTTTTTATCGTTTGTTTATGCTACGTCAGAACATATTTCTTAATTTCTTAAATTATATAACTTAACTCTTAAACATTAAAATAATAAATAAAAATCTTTGTTTAGATTATATTGCTAACTATATATTTATTTTATCTTAACACACATACTGATTCAAAATTTTTTTTGAATAACTTCTATCCTGTTTTTGTTCTGTGTTTTGCTTCAGTGAAGTAATAAAATTATTACAAAAAAAAGTTTGTTAACATCATTTAAACTCTTAAATTTAAGCTCATTTTACTATTTGAACATGGAATAGATAGGAATAGAAAAACTTTGGCAAAAAAGTTTCTCAAAATCAATGTGTTATTATTTTTTTTTGTTTAAATCTTACTTTAAATCAAAATCTAAAACTAAAGATTTACTCTTAACGCTTTGAGCAATGTTGTGGAAATTATAACGTGTGTAACTTGCAGAATATATTGTAAAAATATAAAAAGAGAGTTTTTGTGAGATAATAGCAAGATTTATTTTAAAGATTTTAGTTTGTAGTAAGGTCTGAACCACCTAAAGGAAAACATGGAGAAAATGAACATAAACTAGGGTCAGCGACAAGACGCAAATAAAAGAGTGAAGGTAAGTGATTAGTTTTATCTGGAAAACTATAGTTTTCCAAAATATCCAAATCCGGTACACTTCTAATCTAGTACCACTGACTTGAGTAAGATAAAAAAATTTGAGCTTGCCACCAAAGTCAGTGGTACTAGATTAGGAGTGTACCGGATTGGATATTTTGAATTTCGGCCGGAACCGGATTTGCGGGAATTGTTAACAAAATTAACGTACGAGATTTATTTTTATGTAATTTTTTACCTTTGTATTTATAACAAATGATATATATATATATATATATATATATATATATATATATATATATATATATATAAATTTTCAACCATATCATATAATATTTGTGTTTTCATTGAAATTGTGTTGCATTTATGTTTAAATTTACTTTTAGCATATCATAATAGTACTATGCCACGTTTATACAAAAAAAATTGATTCCAGGCCGTATAAAAATTATTCTGAACAACATGTATCAAATGCTATGATAATTTGATATAATAATAATGATAAATTCAGATTTATCTTTTTTATCAGAAAAAAACATGGAGGATGCAACTTTAATAATGATACAAACTGTTCTATTTCAAAAATGAAACTATCTTCTAAACCCTTTGAGTGCACTGCTACAATTTTTTTTGCGCTAAGTTGCATTTCCATGATACTAATAGTTAACATCTTTGACAGAAATTCTTATAGTTAGTTGCGTCACGAGTTTGTCAATAATGATAAAAAATGTATTCACTTGAAACTTTTCAGATATGTTTAAAGTATTAAATCTGTTTTTGAATATGTTTTGCTTTTACAGCAAAACATATTCAAAGTAACCCCTTTTGCGGGGTAACTTTGAACGACTAAGTAAATAAATATTATACCAAATCTTTTTGTTTAAATATGATTTTGAGTTTGAACTATGTAAGAGCCAGCAATAGCTCCTATATGCATAATGTTAAATTTTAAATATTGTCACTAATGAAGGAGGGGCATACAAAAATATCTCAAAAACGTTCAAAGTCACCCCGGTTGACGGTACTCCTTTTTCTTAAGATTGCACTTTTTTCGATATTTTTTCTGATTGAATTAGCCAAGCTATTTCTTTTTACCCCTTTGTCTTGTTTTCTCTATCCTTCAGCTATTGTTGTTACGGGTGATTTTAATGTTCATACACGAAAAGATAAAATATAGAAAAAAGTTTCTTTAATCATAAAGATTAAAGAAATTTTTTTTGCTAAAAAGTAAAGAAATTTTTAAATCAAGATATCTCACGTAACGATAAATTTGTTCAAAACATTTTTCTTGTTTTTTTATTGCGATTGTAGTTACCAAATCATCGAAATTTAATTTTCTCATGATTGACATAATCGCGCAGATACTATTTTTTTCTTTCATTTAAATTGAATAAGTTCTCCGGCCCCATACTTGCAAAAGAACACTAACAGAGGAAAATTCAATCGACGTTAGAATTGTCTGGTTTTATCTGCACTTTTTGAAATAATCAAGTAATTGATGTTACGAATGTTTTTCTACTGTACCGAAACCTAAGTTTTAAGTAAATTAAAAGTTATAAGTAAAAAAGGTGTAGAGAAAACATAAGTCATAAAAATGCTTTTATATGTCGTCTCTTGAAGTTTTTAATTAAAAACTTAAAAAAGGGGAGATTCGATTCCTTTATTCCCGTAATTAAAAATATTTTCAAAACGAAACTTTTAAGTATAAATTAGCTGCAAAGAAAAATGATCTTTAAATAATCTAACTTTTAAGGTCGCACCATACTGTATTTATTATTACACCACACTGCATTACATTTATTAGGGTGAGCTTTCCACCTAAAACTAAGGTTAAAAACGGTAAAAAGCAAAAAAGCTAACAGTATAGCACAGTGTACACTATGATTAATTGATTCGCGCATTTAATGCAAAGCTCAACCCTAGTCAAAGACGGGCCAAAATGAATAAAACAATTGATAATTTAGCTTACAAACAACTTAAATCGTTTAAAGTAATTTAAGTAGATGCTCTCTAGGAGTCACACATCTAAGATGCTTGGCCTTTTTTAAAAATTTATAACTGGTAACAAATAATAGTAATAAAAAAATCTGTGATTAAGTTTTATCTGTAGCAGGCGGCAGGTAGTGATATTCAGGCTTATAATTATTTTACAATGGGACTCGATAGATAAAAAAAAAATTAAAGAAATATTTTGAAATGCAAATTTACTTAACGAAGATAAAAATAACAAACTTTGAATTTAATATAATCAAAAAAAAAAAAGTCAAAGTTATTCTGAAAAAAATATATTTAACTCAATTGATAACATCTATAAAACTCGGAGAACTTTAAAGTAATTTAAACTATTTATAAAAAATTGATATTTAAAAGAATTTGTTGCTAAAAAATTTACATAGAAATATTGCGGGTGTAATCGTATTCAATCGTAGGAATGACAGCCTGAACAAACTTCAAAAATATAAGTAAATACCTAAAAAAAAAAGTTAAGGACATAACACTTGCTATTATTAAAACGTCATATTTTTTTTTCCATAAAATTTACGTAATTTTGCAAAGAATTTTTTAAAACAACAAATATAAAACCATAGTCATAATATAAGATAGTCTGGCTAGTTGGGCCGTTTTCGCAATATTCTATTGTTTTTAAACAATAAGTTAAAAAGTTAAAACTTTGAATTTTGTTGAAAATCGTTTATTTATCGTGCCCAGACTACTTTATCTTTTATTATATACCAAATAATGTTTTTATAAGATTTGTTGCTAGTAAAATAGTCACAAAATAACTTTGATATTTTTTTAATAATGAAATAAGGTTAGACACAACTGTATTAAGCATTGATCTTTTTTAATGTAAATATTTAAATATCGACTTTCGTCTTCTTCAGAAGAAAAAGTTGATTTCTTTGAGTTGAGCTTTAGTAATATGAGAAACTACTATATTCTGCCTAAAGTAGAATTTGCCAATGAAAAGCTCTTAACTGGTTGATTTATTGAGGGTAGTAAACCTGTCAATCCAACAAAAAAGTTATCTGATATCATATTTTATTATTAGTTATAATATAATATAACTAAAGATATATTTTTATTTATAATTTGTAAAACTTTTCTTCTTGATTCTTTGTTATAAACATCATCATCGGAAGAAAGTATTTCAAATAGAAAAAGATTTATACTTCATCGAGAAGTTCCAGAACCAAATATGTAACAATTAAGACGAGGCATTTGCAAAAATCAAGGATAAATCAATAATCTTCTAAATATTCTTCTTAATGCGCATTTGTTTACAAAAAGTGTGCACTCATTAGTAGACTGGGTTCTAAAAAAAAGCTAACAATAAGATAAACAATAGCGCTCTTAAACTGGCCGGACTATGTATATTATGGCTATGATAAAACGTAAGTATAGGTTGCAAACGTCTCACAGATAAAATTTGCACTTAAATACAGATTAAGCTAACTCTAGTGAAGTTACATAAGTTTAAAATTGCATAGTAATTTCTTCAAAGTCATCTTTTCTTTACGTTTTTTTACTTACGAAGTTTCCTTACTTTCAAGAAAAGCAAGAGAACATAATTTTTCAGGTCAAAAGACAAAAACAATTAAGTCTAATAGAGAGAAAGTCAAATAGACCAAGAGGGAATACCTAGTGTTAGAAGCAAGAGGGAATCCCTAGTGTTAGAAGCATAGTAAAAGATTTCTATACTCAAAAGGTCGTGAAATAGAAAAAAAAAAACACTTTTCTTTGTTATTGACATTGCATATTAGAACTTTTTTTTTAGAAGTTTTTTTTTCTTAATGAAAACAAAAGATTTTTGCTACTTTTTTTATAAAAATTTCTTCTTGTAAATTTTTATTAAATGTTGAATGAAATGGAAATGTTGAACATAATTGGAACAAACATCAGTTGATGTTGTTTGTTTAACTCAAAAAGCTTTTACATTTCCAATATATTTGTAAGGACAGACAGCCATACCTTAAATATTAAGATATGTCATGGTAACCAGTAATAATCTGTTGTTTTATTCATTATAATTATTTCTAATCATTTATGGTTTTGCATGCTTTGAATTTTTATATTTGAAATTTTTTAGTTTTAGAGTTATGACTTATAATTTTAATAAATGTAATATAAAAATATATAATAAAATAAAAATATAATAAAAAAATATAAATTGAAATGATACATATGTACTCCAACTTCGCCACCGCCATCTTGAACTGTAGAGATTATTTTCTTCATTACTTCAGCATGCCTAAAAAAATTATCATCGTTTAAAAAATTACGCAAAATTAATTTTCATTTGAAATTAACAAATTTTATCCCCATAGTAATTCTATTTATTTTTTTATCAACTACATTTATATATAACTAATAACTTTATTTATTGAAAACAATATAACATAAAAGAGTAAATAATTAATTTATTACTTTCTCCATGTTACAAAATAAAAAAAATATATATATACTATGAGCGTACATGCCCCATAAATGATTTGTCAACTTATAACAAAGTTTTTCAATAAACAACCTGTAGATCATGAATAACAAAAACTATTAAAAACTAAACTGACTGGAAACAGTAAAGCAATTTTGATTAGCTACAATATTTCTTTTTCATACGACCTACTATTTTCTTCGGAAAATAAAAGCAATGTTCCAAAAGTTGCGTTTTCGTTCAAAAAGTACCTAAACCCCAATTTCTCGTATGCGCAGGCACAATTCCTTACAATTCTTCAGTGAAAAATGAAATAGTCAATAAGAAAAGCTCCATATAATTTCTGGCACTTTTTTGATGAAAGGCTCTGAAGATAAACGCTATTTTTTAACTTACTCCTACTGCCAACTAGCCCTGCTCTCCCCTTATCAAAAATGTTATACGAGTTCTAAAATCAAAGTTTTTATGGAGTTTTAAAAATATAATGTATTCTTTAATGACATGTACATAAAAAGATTCTATCATGCTATGTGACAAAATATTTCTATGATGTTATGCAATAAAGAAATATGTAATATAAATCAAATAAATTTCTATAAAAACAAAAAAAATTTTAACTTACTTGCATGGATGAATTGATGCCATCTGGGGAGGTGGTAAATGTGGATGCGCTTCACATGTTACTGTTTTATTTACATGGTCCTACATTCAAGATAAATATTAGAATATTTACATGGTCCTACATTCAAGATTATAAGTTGATCAAAATCAAGCAATTTCAACGAACATGATAAATTAAAAACACAAAAAATTTAACAACAATAATAAAAATTATTAATAAAAAGAAAATAAACGTGACTAATATCAAAAATTCACAAAAAGAAGATTTAATAACAACAAAAAGGAAACCTGACTAATATCCTCATACATCTGTTCAATTGTAAGAGGCTTACGACTCTAAAAAAAATGTTTCTTTTTAAAAAAAAAAAATGTTTGATTTACATTTTTGCAGATTAACATAAAAATAAGATTATTAGCTATTTAACCTCATCATAACCAAACAACCAAAATCTTGGTGTTTGGTAATAACGATCATACGTTATGTTTAAATCGTACGTTCGGGTCTGCAAAATACCATTTTTAGTACTAACAGCCTCCTGAATCATGTCTTTATTTTTATGTATTACACTAGAAATAGTGGCCTAAATAACAAAAATGTTTACAATATTAACAATAGAAAAAACACATAACTACAGTTACACTAGAAATACAGTATAATACATTTTATGTCTGATTAAAATAAAGTCTACTAAAATATATTGTGTCATTGCAATGTTATAGCATAAATCTTTAGAGTATTGCAGAAAAACTTATTTTAGTTATAGTATGAGTACAATAATGTAAGATGAAACATATGCTTGACTTCATCAAAATTATTCTTGACTTCATCAAAATTATGCTTGACTTCATCAAAATTATGCTTGACTTCATCAAAATTATGCAAAAAAAACTTACAGAATCAAAGAAAAACTTACAGAATCATCTTCCAACATGCCAGATTCTTCAAATGCTAATCAAATCAAAATTAAATTGTTTATAATCATTTTTTTCTAAATTATTGCTAAAAATGAAAAATTTTATTAGTTAAAAAACTACCTTCCATATCCATGGCATCATCATTGTCATCATTTTCATCATCAGCCTCAACTGTGTTAGCACTTGACTTTGAAACAAACCAAAAAAACATTTTAGTATTAAAAAAAAGTTGAGTTTTAAATAGTTCATAAGAACTGGATCACATGCTCAGATGAGACCAGAAGGAATTAAGTTATAACTATGACCTATAGTTAATAAAAACCATGACCATAAGCAATGTTTTTGTTTATTTACAAGGCAATCTTAGTAAAACTTGTAAACACAACTTTGTATGCAACATAAAGTCATTCTAATTAACAAGATGTTTTTATGTTAAATCCGTTGTGCTCAAACTTTTAAATTACTCAACAGTATCTAAAACCTATATTTATACAATCAATCCACATTTAAAAAAGAACGCAGACATGCAACCTACCTGGATTTCTTCATCATCTTTTATATCTTTATTTGCATGCTCTAAATTATGGTGAGTGTCTACCCATCCACCATCTCCATCATGTTCTTCAATAACCGCTTCATTCTCAAGCATATATTCCATTTGAGAGCAGCGCTTATAACATGGTACTACATTACAAAACATTAACAGTATGCACGAATTACATATGATTTTTTGCATTATTACTATTTCTAGATTTTTTTAGTTTTGTTTTTCAACATTTTTAAAATTTTTTTTTGTTTTTAAACAAACAAATAATCAAAGTAAAAAAAAAAGAAAATATAAAAAGAAAAAAAGTATATATAAAAAAGAAAAAAGAAATATGTATAAAAAAGAAATATACATAAAAACAAAGTCACAATAAAGCTTCAATAAAATAAGGATAGAAGAGAATTTGTGCATCATCCAACAAGTTAAGGTGTGGGCAGGTAGTATTTATGTATGATAAAAGTCTCGAAATACAAAATTAATTTTTTTTTAATTCTTTATTATTTTATAAAACAAATTGAAGAATTCAAAAATAATAAATATTTATTACCATAGATTAAGATGTCAAGGTTTTCACTTTATTCAGAAAAAGAAAAAGATAATTTTGAATTGTTTTCCTTCAAAGATACTGCCTGCCCTATTTCTATTCAAGTAGATACTCCCTTCCTTTACCCAAACATGTAATTGTGTATTTGCTGAATTTTTTTTTTTTTAGATAAATGAAAAAAAAAAAATGTTAACCATTTTTTGTCATCAGAAACTGCTTATCATCAGGTAGGTAACTTTTCTTTTTAGAACTTTCACCTGCTGACCTAAATATATATATATATATATATATATATATATATATATATATATATATATATATATATATATATATATATATATATATATTATAAATCAGTAGAAAATCACTTAACAAAATTTTTTCTCATTTAACACTGTGTTTCATCAGCAAAAAGACTCATCAGAAAATTGATTTTCTGATGAGTCTTTATTGATGAAACACAGTGTTAAATGAGAAAATATTTGCTTAGTGATTTTCTACTAATTTGTAATTGCTCTGTTCTTTTAAGAACATTGAGCACTCTTTTTGTAGAATACATTTTAAATTGTTTAAATATATATATATATATATATATATATATATATATATATATATATATATATATATATATATACATATACATTTATACATATATATATACATATACATTTATACATATATATATATATATATATATATATATATATATATATATATATATATATATATATATATATATATATATATATATATATTATATATATATATATATATATATATATATATATATATATATACATATATATATATATATATATATATATATATATATATATATATATATATATATATATATGTCTTATGTATGTATGTATGTATGTATGTATGTATGTATGTATGTATGTATGTATGTATGTATGTATGTATGTATGTATGTATGTATATATGTTTTCAAAATGCTATTTTATATAGAAGAATTAAAATATTTTTCAAAACCAGATATCGTTTCCATTATTAACATGTTTTGCAAATCATAAGTGAATATTTTTTAACACTTGGAAGATTACTATCCAAACTTTTTAGACTCCTCCTACCTTAACCAGGGGCGTGTCTAGGGGATGTCTGCTACGTCGATGGACGTACCCAAAAAAATTAAAAAAAAAAATTTTCAACTTGATTAAGTTGTTGAAAAAAATCTTACTATATGTAACTATAAAAACCAAACTACAGCAAAAACTAAACAAATTATGCACGGTTAATTATCTGAATGTTTTGAATTATTCACGGTTAATTATCTGAAACGGTAAAAAAAAAATAAAAACTGGAAAATATAATTGTATATTAGTTTCATAATTTTGCGATTGTTAAAAAATAATAATTACAATATTTGATGAAGGTAATTTTATACCTTATTTTATTTTGTTATATAGAACTTTATTTTTCAAATATTTTCTTTCGTTGGCTTAAAAAAATCAAAATGATTATTTTAGTTAGAACAAACTTTGGACTTCCCTTTTTACATACATCCTGAGTAGAGTTTTTATCAAGTTTTATTGTTTAACTATCACCAGGAGGTAAAACTAGATTTTTTTTTTTTTTTTTTTTTTTTTTTTTTAACATCTTCACTTCCAACAAGGCTGCAAGCAACCACTATAAGAGTTGGAAGTTACTGGAAGAGAAAAGACTAAATCTGTAGAGCAAGATAACGATTGACTGATGACTTAAAAGATTGCAAATTATATGAATCAGGAAAGCAAGATGAAGGAAGCGAATTCCAAAGAACTGATGTTCGAGGAAAAAAACTAGAAGAATAAGAGTTTTTAAAGCACTTAGGAACAGTCACAGAAAAAGGATGAGACTTAATTGAATGGCGAGTAACACGAGAACGAATTTTAGTAGATGGCACAAGGGACGCTAGCTCTTTAGAGCAGTGCCCATTATAGTATTTGTAGAAAAGAGAAAGAGAAGCAACATTACGACGATGTGACAAAGGTTGGAGATTGGCTGCCAGAGCAGGTCCAACTATGTTTACAATTCGTTTTTGCACCTTGTCTAAAAGAGAAAGAGCATCATTAGAAGATCCGCCCCAGATGTGGCAACAGTATTCCATACAGGGACGGATTTGAGATTTATAGAGATAGAGAATAGAATCTGGAGTAAGAAAGTGTCGAGCTCGATAAAGAGATGCAACCTTAGCAGATGCTAATTTTGCAATGGATTTGATATACGGTTTAAAAGAAAGATCAGAAGTAAGAGTTAATCCTAGAAGATGAATGGTAGATGACTCATCTAGTACATTACCATTCATAAATATAGGAAGATCTAAATTATTACGATAACGATTGGCCGAATAAAATTGAGTTTTATCTGAATTAAAGTTCACCAGCCACTGTGAGCCCCATGCTGTAGCAGAAGTGAGGTCCTTTTCAAGCTCAGATACTCCCTCCAGGCAATCAGAGAGTGTAGGCTTCTTATCATGACAAGAGTAAATGGTAGTGTCGTCAGCGAATAATGCCACCTTAGATGTGAGAATATCTGGAAGATCGTTAATGTAAATTAAAAAGAGTATAGGGCCAAGGATTGAACCTTGAGGAACCCCTGAAGTTACAGGATGTGAAGAAGAGTGTTGTCCATCGAGGACAACTTTTATACTACGATTGGAAAAAAAGGACTCAATAATCTTAAAGACGTTACCAGCTACACCATAAGAAGAAAGCTTATGGAGAAGACCAGCATGCCAAACTTTATCAAAAGCTTTAGAAATGTCAAGTGCGATAGCCTTAACCTCTCCACCTCTATCTAATGCACGGTAAAACCTATCGGTTATTACTGTTAGCACATCAGCTGTAGAACGAGAAGACCGAAATCCATATTGATGATCAGAAAGTAAGTTATTTGATTCAAGATGAGAGATTAAGTGTTTGTTGATTAAAGATTCAAAAACCTTGCTTATGACAGGAAGAAGACTAATGGGACGGTAGTTAGATGAATCAGATCGCTCTCCTGAATTTTTGAAAATAGGGATAACAGATGCTGCTTTCCAGCATGATGGAAAACAAGACTCTGATAAGCACTTGTTAAATAGTTTAGAAAGTATGGATGAAAGCTCCGGAGAACACCTCTGCAAGACTACAACAGGAATGTTGTCAGGACCACAAGCTGTTGAAGAGTCTAAGCAGGAAATTACTTTAGATACAGAAGCTGAAGTGATGCGAATGTCAAGCAAGGGATCAACCTGTTTGACGGCTATGTCAGGTAAAACGCAACTAGTGGAATCAAGAGATGATATTGATGAAAAGTTCTTAGCAAACAATTCAGCTTTGTCTTTAGGTGAGGTGACAAAGTCTGAACCATACAAGAGAGAAGGAATAACAGATTTGCCCTTATTATTGATACTGTTAAAGATTCTCCAGAAGTCTCGAGAGCCTAATTTTTGTGATGAGATACGAGATTTAATGACCTGGGAATAGCGAGCTTTGGCGTCAGACAAAACCTTTTTACAATGGTTTCTGGCGATAGTGAACAGATGTCTGTTTTCTGAAGAATTGTTTTGCTGATAGATATGGAAGTAACGGTTTCGATTAGAAATTGCTGCAGCGCAATGTGAGGAAAACCAAGGAGAAGAGTGAGGCTTGACCTGGAATCGTCGAGAGGGAATAAAAGATTCCATGCCAGCCTGAATCCACGAAGTTATGTAAGAAGCACATTTGTCAGCAGGAAGAGGAAAGATTTCTACCCAAGGGCCATCACGAAGAAAATCACGGAAAGAGTCCCAGTCAGCTTTAAGGTAGTTGTATGTGGTACGATGATAGGGGGATTCTGATGAAGTAGAAGAATTTGATAATAGTTTTAGAGAGATCAAACCGTGATCAGAAGTACCTAAGGGTGAATGTGGAGAAATTGAGCACTGACTAGGATCCAAAACAAGACATAAGTCGAGTAGAGAAGGTAAATGATTAGGGTTGTCTGGAAAACGAGTTGGAAAGTTGACTATTTGAGTTAGAGATTGAGAAAGGCAAAAGTTGAGGGCTTTAACGCCAGCAGAGTCACTGACACTAGAGCCAAGCCAATCGGTGTGATGGGCATTAAAGTCACCAACAACAACGATATTGGCCGATGGATAAAGAGAGAGGGCTTGGTCAATTTGATCAGAAATAACATCAAGAATAGTGTAATCTTGGGATGAAGGAGAGCGATATAGAACAAAGAGAAAGGCGATAGAGTGAAGTTGTGCTAAACGAAAGCACATAAATGAATAGTCTGGAGATTCAAACCTAGTTTCACGACAAATGGGTGAGTTCTTACGAATGTAGATGCCCAGGCCAAGCATATGATTATTGGAGTCTTTACGAATTAAAGGAAGATAACCATCAACACTAAGATCACAAGATGGGACAGCCGAACTCAAATTAGTCTCACAAAGAGCAAGTAGGTCTGGTGAACTTTGCAAGAGATAAGACTCAACAGAAGAATAGTAGATAGTAGAATAGAAGATAGTAACAACAAGTATATATTAAAATATATCAATGGACATCCCCAGTTTTATTACACTAGACTGTGAATCATTTTAATAACTTGCATTTTAAGTAATAAATAAGGAGAAAAAAGGTTTCAAATATGGAAAATAAAATTCGGACTTCCCTTTTGACACTTTGCCTAACTTGTTATTTTATTAAATTAATTTATTTTATAAAACATAACATGGCCAATGATTAGTTCAAAATGTCGCTAAATTCACAAGTTTATATAGCATTATATAGTATGTTAAAAAAAAGCATTATTTCCTTTAAAGTTAGGCGACCAAATATTATATTGTATAGAATTTTCGGATACAAGAAAGGAAGACAGAGAGTTATTACAAGTAGAATAGACTATAAACAAGAGTGTTTATAGTTGCATCGATTAAAACTAGTATTTGTTTCTTGGTTTTCTTTGATAATCAAGAAGATTTTAGACATATAATTAGAAGTATTTTAGACATATATTTAGAAGTATAAATTTTAATTAGCCACATTGTTTATCTTTTATGAGAATCATGTTAATCGTAATAGGAACTATGATGAACCACATAAACTTTATGTAGTTCATCAGATTCTCATAAAATACTAAATAAACAAGTTTTTCCTTTATGATAAAGGAAAAACTTGTTTATTTAGTACTTTAATAAAAACTATTAGTGATTTTTCTTTGGATGTTATGAAATGTGAAATTGTGGCATGGATACTTTATAAAAGTTTTTTATACCTGTGGTTTTCTGTCTCAAAGAATGTCATTAATGACGCAGCCCCTGCTACTGCTTCTTCTACTAAAGTTAATAACAAATTTTGATTTTATTAATGCACTGTGTATAACAAGACATGTTTTTAATATAACTTTTTTAATTACACAATTATGCAAGCAAGTAATAATGATATTTTTTATAGTTTAAATCTTGTTCAAGCATTAAAAGATTTTGTCTCTAGTAAGAAATATTATTAATCAACACCTCCAAATATGGTTTAAACAAGCCTAAAAATTGCATTTCAAATTATTTTAACTTGGTTATCACTGTTTCTTTGCTAGACTGTTTGATTACTGAGTTTAAAACAATATTTGATTGATTGATACAATTTTAAAGTATTATAAAGCACCTGTGTTTTAATTTCTCCTTTCTAATATTCCGTTTCTTTTAAAAACAATTGCAGAATTTCAATATTTTGTTATACTAGTTGGGAAGACCAAATCATATGTTTTAGTGTATTTTGTTTAACCAATTGCTTTATTAGGTTTATTTATTATTTCTAAACCAAAGGTTTAGAAATAATAAATAAACCTAATTTGATAATACTTTAAAAGTTTAATCTGATAATACTGAAATATTGCAAGCCTTTTCTTTACTGAGGAGCCTAAAAGGTTATAAGAGAATAGTAAGTAGATGTTGCAAAGCAAAACGGTTGATTAAGTCTAAATGGTTTAGTTTAGCTAGTCTATGGATAGTAAACAAGTTTTTAACAAGTTTGTTATAAATACTTATGAGTTGTGTTTTAAATAAAATTCAAATTTGATAAAAGTAAAACTTGTCTAAGTTGTAATGTAATATCTAAACTGCTTTTTGTTAAACAGCTATTTTCATAGCCAGACATCTTGGTAAAAACATTTAGCATTGTACAGTTATTGCAATAAGTTTTTTGACTCTAAATATTTATTAAGTTTATTTATAATTAAAAGTTATTTATAAAGTTATATAAAAAAATGTACACAGCAAAATCTTGGAAATAGTTTTCACAAACCTTGTAAAAAATTTTAACATTTATATATTCTACATTACGACAACTGAGCATTTTCAAAAAATAATTTTTTTAGTTTGCAAAAATTTTGAGCAATAGTGACCATTTTATCAATGTTACAAGTCATTTAAAGAATTAAAAAATTTTTATAAAATACACTCAATCCGGGTGTGGTGGGTGTGTGTGTGTGGGGGGAGGGGGTGACATGAAATTTTTTGGACTTACCCAAAAAATTTCATGTAAACGCCCCTGCTTAAGCCACAATAAAATAAGAAGATTTTTTGAAGTTTCTACTAGGTTGCCTTCATCACAGCTAGGTAAATTGCCTTCACCACAGCTAGAGAGTTGCTTTCACAAGTTACACAGCTAGGTAATCTGCCTTCATCACAGCTAGAGAACATTACCTGCTTCATTACAGGATCAGTTAAATATTATTACCAGGGTGTAAATTTAAATCCGGGATAATGAAGGAATAATGAAAGAGAAGATTGCTGTCCCATTCTAAACCCTTAGTAAATGTAGAAGCATCCCTTTGCTGCAACAGGTAATAAGACAGTCTATATACAAAAAACATACATATATGCATACAAATAAGCATACACATATACATACAAAGATCAGGATTGGGGTAAAATATGTATTTGTATTTGGTTTTATTAAGATAATTTTTTGCATCTGTATTTAATTTGTATTTGATAAAATAATTTTTGAAATATTTGTAATTAAGATGTATTTGCAGTTGACTGATATTTTTTTGGGAAAAATCATTTTGTTATTGTTGTAACAAATAATTTTTTTCATTTTTAACACTAAAATAATTAAAAAAAAATGTTTATACAGTATTTGTTAAAACATTTGTTTTCATTCTTCTATTTAGTATACCATTTTCTTGATTCTTCTATTTAGTATACCATTTTCTTGATTCTTCCGTTTAGTATACCATTTTCTTGATTCTTCTATTTAGTATACCATTTTTCTTAATTCTTCTATTTAGTATACCATTTTCTTGATTCTTCTATTTAGTATACCATTTTCTTGATTCTTTTATTTAGTATATCATTTTCTTGATTCTTCTATTTAGTATACCATTTTCTTGATTCTACTATTTAGTATACCATTTTCTTGATTCTTCTATTTAGTATACCATTTTCTTTGTATTGTCTAACAAATTTTTTAGTTATTATTCTAATATTTTCAGTATTTCTTTTTCAATAACTTTAAATTAAGTTAAAAATGAAAACAAAAAAATACAATACAAAGAAAATGGTAGACTAAAGATTTTTTTTGTAAAAAAACAGAAACAGTTTAAATAATAGAGACGAAAATATTTTACGATAGGAACTATTACTATCAAATATTTCCTTAAAATTCAAAAACAAATCTACTGTTCATTAGAATGAATGAAAATTAGCTGATTAAAGATTTAAGTAATAATAAAGTTAATTAAAATTATTTATTAGTTTTAAAAAATTAAAAATATAACTTGAAATTATTTGTATTTTTCTTAACCTAAAATACAAACATTTGTATTTGCATTTGTACTTTGGAATCTAGAATTAACATATTTTTATTTGATCAAATGCATTTGTACCAATCCCTGACCCGTAACCTGTATTTTAGGTTATAATACACATTTAGAAACAAAATAACTCCTGATAATGCATTATTTTTTTGACATACAATATAACGAGTTTGATTACTTTAATTTCAAATATAAATATTGAGCTTGATTACTTTTTTGACAGTGTTATGAAGTCAATTACTACAGTTTAACTAAAATATTTTTTATCAATAACTAATTATAATTAAGTTTAAATAATTACCAATGCCAAGTAGGACAATGATGAACCAAATAATCTCCAGCGGCAACAAACTATAGAATAAAAATTAAATGCAATAATAGAAATAATAAAATGTTTTAATAAAAAAAATTTTCAGGGGGTAAAGTTACCTCTTCAGGGGTAATAACACCAGTTTCACTAAATTTAGATTCCTAAAAAGAAAAAATAATGTTAAAAATATTGTAAGTAATTAAATAACAATAAGATAGCTTTAGGTAAAAAATTTAATTAAATACTAATTTTTATTATATATATATATATATATATATATATATATATATATATATATATATATATATATATATATATATATATATATATATATATATATATATATAGTGCTTGAAAGTGAGGCGAGATGCCATTCCGTCACTTTTTTATAAAGAATATAACTAAACTCCCGCCTTTTATACTAATGTACTATAGTGTATAAATATACAATAATCTACTATAGCATATAAAGATAACAAATTGTTACTATTTTTTTCCTACTTTTATAGCAAACAGCGTTTTCAGTAAAAGTATAAAAAAATAAATAAGTAAATAAAAGATGTCTCATGCTAAACCATAAGTCAATGTAGTGGCACTTTTTTGTAGCAACAGGCTGCAAGATAGTCAATGTATGTACAGAAGCCTCCGACAGCAGGCTATTTCATATACATACATACATATATATATATATATATATATATATATATATATATATATATATATATATATATATATACACATATATATATATATACATATATAATTTGAGTCTTTTAGTAACTTTTAAAACTAATTATTATTATAGTGGTAGGTGGACATCATTTATTTTGTGTTATCAAAATATTAACCTGTTTTATCTAAAATATATCGACAGATAGATAAATATATCTGTTGATATATTTATCTATCTGTATTATCTGAAGTTTACCTTCAATATTGGTGTTAGACTTTCTGCCATCCCCAATGCTTTACTTTTAACTGTATTGTAAGCATGTTGCAAAGACATGACGGTGAAGATTATTTTAAATCAACTAAAAAATGCAAAGTAAACAAAAAACTAATTATGTACAACTTAATTATATACAACTTAACAACAAACACTGTGTATAAAAATCTTCTAATTAATGATTTCTAAAAGAAAAAAACTATAAATTTAAAAAAAGTAAAAAACTTAAAATTTGGATTTGGACTATAAATTTGGAAAATCAATTGAAGATTACTTTAATGTTCTGAAAATATTTTTTTAAAAACATGTTTTTATTTTAAAGATATGTTTTTATTTTAAAGTGCTTTAAGATGAAATACTTAATGTTTATTAATATTCAATATATTTGAGATATTGTTTGCCAAGAAAAAAAAATTCTTTGAATCAACAGAAATCATAGAAATAATAATTCCTCTAAAAATACAAAAGAAAAAACTTTTCAGTAAACATTTGAAAGGGGAAAATAATCAGGAAGAAATTTAAGAAATGTTACTTAAAAGATATGTATTTATAGAGAAAAATAAAACCACAAAAAACAAATAAATAAAACAAACGTCTTCACAAAAAACATAATTTTTAAAACCAAATACTTTGTAAATATAAAAATAAAAAAATTATTTAATATATAACTGAAAACAATCATTTACAACTCAAAATATAAAATTAAAAAATTTAGCTGCTCATGAAAAAAATTAACAAAAAATATTTTCTATAAAAGAAAGTGTGGCATTTTTAGCTTAGGTATCAAAATGAACAATATCATGAAAAACAATTTGTAATAGAATATTTATTAAAAAACCAACCTTAAAAAAAATTTATATAGTTTTTTTCACAAAATTAAAAACTTTTTAAAATTTAAAACTTTTTCTTATATGATTTAATATATTTGTAAAAAGCATTGCTAGCCCCATACATATAGACATAAGTAAAAAAAAAAGATAAATACTCTGAAATCTGAAAAAAAAAAAATTAACTCTTTTAATTTAACAAAAGATCTTAAAAGAAAATTAAAATCTTAAGAACTTTAAACAAAAAATAAAGTTCAGTAAATCTGACCAGATAATTCACTTTTTTTAATAGCAATAAAATTTGTTAATAATAAATTAGACTATGGTCACACAGACATGAACATTCTTAACTATGATCACAATAGGACATGACTATTTTTAAACTATGGTCACACTATTACATAACCAAACCATATAGAAATAGCTTTTAATTTTAAATTTAAAAGGCTTTTAAATATATATTTAAATGAATATCTGATTTTGCAAGATATTATGGTTTAACTAGAGCTATATAAAAATTAATATATTTAAGTAACTTTTATAAAAATTAATATATATAAGTAACTACAAACTCAATAAAATCAACATGTACAATAACTACTATCATTTTGTTTTTCTACTAAAGGGTGAATGACACTATCCAACTCCTTTGGTTTATCATCTTCTTTATCATCAATTCCGGGTAAAGATGCAGAAATACGACGAAATAGCTGCGAAAAAAAAAAAAGAAACAAAAAAAACTAAAACAGCATATTATTTTAAAGTAATAAATTTTTTTTTTTTCTTAAATTCAAAAAAAATTATATTTAAAGAAATCAAAGTAACTCAAATTATTAACAGGAGCATAAAAAGCTTTTCTTTTGAAGGGTAAAACAAAAAAAGCAAAACAAATATTTGAAAAAAGACAAGACTTTAAACAACAGTTTTCTGAGATATTTGTAAATAAATAGATTCAAAGGCAAAATAATAAAAATATATATAAAAAACAGAAATCAAACAAATATTCTTGAATTTCTTTCTCCTTAAGTTGAGTCAGATTATTCCCAATATTGAGTTTTGCCTTATTCTTTGAGTTTTTATACAATATCAGTCAACTAACTTAATTTTTTTTTTATATTTCAAATCAATTGTCTATTGACAATTTTCAATGCATTAAGTTTAAATCATTTAATTAAAAAATATTTGTTGTTTATTTAATTGCTTGTATTTCTTTTGTTTTATTTTTTTTAAAGGGAGGGGAGAATCTTAAAGCACTGATGCTTTTTAGAGAGAAAAGGAACAGTTGTAGTAAAAAAGTGTAACTTTACTGTATAATGAGTCAGATTAGATTGTGTTTTGGTTGGTGAAACAAGAGATAACAGCTCACATAAGCATCAGCCTAGTTAACATCGTGATAACATCATGAGATAACAGCTCACATGAGCATTAGCATTTGTAGAAAAGACAAAAAGATGCCAGAGAGGTACCATAGCAACCTTACAACAATTTGTAGAGAAAAAAAGAAGTACCATAGCAATGCTACAACAAGACAGAGGCTCAAGCTTGGAAGTCTATCAACATCTATAATGAATTTTTAACTTTTGCCTAAAAGAAAAAGGATATCGTAATAAGTACTAGCCCAAATATGACATTAGTATTTTATACAAGTACAGATAGGAGATTTATAGAAATAGAAAATACAATCAGAAATAAGAAAATAGTAAGCAAAATAATAAAAAAAAATAACCTTAGCAACAGTTGCTTACAATGCGATGAATTTGTTTTTATAAGAGATCAACAGTAAAAGATAATATAAAAAGACATAATGTAGAGAAGCAAGAGTGTTTGCATAGTAGAGGATTCAATAAGAGTTTAACCAGTCATCAATATGGAAATTTAATTAAATAAGCAACACCAAATAAAAACACCAAACATGTTGGATAACACATGCTTTATTGTTGGAACACATGTTATATTGTTGGATAACACATATTGTTTTATTGTTAAACATTATACAACAAAACAAATTATTAAGCCTTTCCCTAAATTTTCGTTGATCAAAGTAAATATGAATGAAATGATAAAAATAGTAACCAAAGTTAAAAATAATTTAAAATAAAAAAGTTTGACAAATTATAATAAAAGTTTAACATAAATTATAATATATTAATAACCATTTAGTATAAATTGCTATTATAATATCTGGGTAATGGACAATGTTTTAAAGAAAGAAAGCTAACTAAGAGTCTTAACACATGGGTATAATTTAAAATTAAAATGATGGGTAGTATGATTGTTGATAGGAAAGGTACTTTTCAACTTTAGAAACATGAGAAGAAAATAACATTTAACAAACGCCAACCCCTTCTCTCTTGAAAAAAACCTATTTTACATTTTGCAATTTTTGCAATTTAAATTAATTTCTGATTAAATGCAGTTCCTTTTTTAAAAGTTTATTTAAGTTTATTGTTTAAGTTTTTTTAAAAGTTTTTTAATAGTTTTAAATCCAAACAATTATAATATTAAAAATCCATTTTACAATTATTAATTTAATGTTCAAAAATGGTGACTAGAAAAATAAGTTTTACTTTTAATGCATAACATTAAGAATGGGTCCAACCTTCTTATTGAAAAGCCATTTATTAAAAAGCATCTTAAAAAAAAAAAAATTATTTTTAAAAAAGTGCTGGAAAAATATTTCTACATTTCGATGAAAAATTAGGACGGGATACTAAAGATGACATATAATGGGATGATAAGGATGAGGGAGGATGGGATTATAGAAACAAAGGATCATGGAATGATAGAGATAAAGGGTGATGGAAATGAAAAATTATGGAGAAGAATAATGTTATGACAATGGATGTTATGAAAGACAATGGGATAATTAAGATTGAATAATAGAAATAAAGAATGATGAAAATGATGGAGATAAAGGGTGTTAAAAATAAAGGATTTGGAATGATGGAGATAAAGAATCGATTGAAGATTACCTATCCCAAACAAATTAAATAACTGTGTTACTTGTTTCTTGGTGAAAAAATATTTTTAACTTTAAAAACTTTTAACAAACGAGTCAAAATATTACTCTTAATTAAAATGTCATCAAAACAGTTGAAAAAAAAAAATCTGCACATCTATCAACAAAATCCGTCTGCATCATTACTTTTAATCACTAAAACATCTGAATCTAGCAAAACTCTCTATTTTCTTGTACGAGCAAAAGGATCTTGAAGAAAGAGTGCCTCTAAAGATAAAATAGCAGCAATTAGTATTTGATGATCATTCCCACAATATCCTGGCTTATTGAACAGAGAATGAGCCAAATGGTATAAAGTTTCAGAGTTTTTTGTCAGGTAAGTTAAAATATTTTTATAGGTTCAAGTCTTATTAGGCGATTAAATATCCAAACCAATCAGATAAGCAATCACTGACTGCTAAAACTCAATCTCAAAAACTTGACAATGAAGTGTACATCAAATGCAACTTTAAACAGCTCCTAGATCCAAAATTTTACACTTTAATTGTTCTTGAGCGTGTCAGCAACAAGTTCAAGTATAAATGATTGGATTTGGCAAGAGACTTCTCTTGTGCAATAAGCAGCGGTTTAAGATCTCAAGTTTTTGTCACATTATCAACTTTGAACTCTGATTTTTACATAAAGGAATGCTTACAAGCTAGGCCTTTGTCGTTTTATCGAAATCACAATGTCACCTGTTGGATCTAGCCTGATTTTGCTTCTTGTCATTATTCTAAGAAGACAGTGGTACAATTTGAAAGACATTAAATTTATATCAAAAAGCTTGAATTCACCAAACTGCCCACAGTTCCAACAATACAAAAGGTACCGATTAGACATAAGTTCTGAATATTATATATATAAATCCAAAGACAATAATCCAAAAATTTTAATAGAAATCAGAAGAAAAAAATATTGGAAGATAATGTTCTTTAAAGAATATTTAATCTCTTTTACTCTAACTTTTTTTTGAAATTTGCATTCTAAACCATTATTATCATACGGCCTTCATATTAGTTTTTTGTTTTTTATAAAACTGATACAGTTTTGGACTACTAACTGAAGTTTGTTTATAGTTTTATAAATTTTCCTTGATAAATATTCAGGAAAATTTCACTATAAACTACAACAAACTAAAGATTTAGTAAAAATATTTAAAAAAGACCTGTTTAACATTATGAGCTGTTTTAGCACTGCTTTCTATAAATATGACTCCAAGTTCTTTTGCTTTTTTTTCGCCTTGTTCCATAGATATTCGCCTAAATGAAAAGAATTGAACAGATATTTCCTTTTTAAATTACTTAAAAATAAATATCAGCATAAAAGGTTGACTTAATATATATAATATGACATAATAATATAAATAAAAAAATAAAACACTTAATGGTATACAAGTTATATTATAAAGCAAATTTGTAAAAAAAAAAAAAAACAGAACTAAATTTGATTTTGAAACCAAGAAATTTAACAATAAGCTAATGACTTTCTGTTTCAATCATTTTTAACATTAGCACCTTTAATTTGCTTCCACAACACACCTCTTATCAGTCAAATCTGTCTTGTTCCCAACTAACATTATAACAACATCATCACCACGTTCAGCTCGCACATCTTCTATCCATTTGTCTACTTGAGCAAAGGAGTTTGTATCTAAAAAAAGCAAACAATATAAAATATGAATACAGAAGCTGATTAAAAAAAATATTCAAGTTTTAATTATATTTTTATTCTTGACTTTCTATACATACTTATATAGATACTTGTGCTATGGTATAAGACACAGTATCTGTTAAAACTGTTGGTAAGATACATAGTTAGGGTGTTAACCAGCCTGATGGCACCGCGTATAACACGGTATTCCCAAAGATTCATCAGATCATAGTAAAACAAAAAACAAAAAATTAAATCAGTCTCAGATTTTAAGTGTCGCGCTAGATAAGTAAAAAACGCAATTAGAAGCATGACAAAAAAAATGAATTAAATTGATTGATTCTTTTAACGCGTAAAAACGTGTTGTCATTAACAAGCGTCCATACATAAACATGATCATTCGTTCAAAAGTTTAAAAAAAAATTTTGCTTCAATTTTTGTTGACATCAGTTAATCTTGAGTTAGGATTTTTTTAAGTTTAATAAATTATTTTATTAATTTATTTTTATTATTCAAAAACTCTTTATTTATGTTTTTGCTGTTTATCTTACGTTAGTAAAGTTACAAAGAAATTTGCATAATAATAAATATTATACTTTAAAATAAGTTAATAACATTTTTGTAATAAAAGATTTATTAATACTCTCAGTAAAATAAATTAGCAGGCAGGTATGCGGAGTTCCAAAAGGACTCCAGCTTTATATCTTTATTTTTTCTAGGTCTGTAGTGTCCAAAAGCTCTAAATATGTTTGTTGACTTGTGATCTGCTATAAGAAAAAAATTCATGTGATTTAATGACTTGGAACTTATTGTTTTTAAGCCCGGAGTCCTGGAGTCCCGGAGTCCTTGCCGCCATTATACCTAAGGACTACAGGTTCAAAAAGTGATTGTTTCTCTTACCTAAAAGCCATTGCATTTTTATGTTTTTAGTTCTACATTTTTTTTTTAAATTACCTTCAATTATAAATGCATCACAATTTACATTGTTTGTGATAAAAAAATTTTTACCTTGCTGTTTAGTTATTATTATTATATCATTATAATTACTATATCGTTTAACTTTCTTTTAATTTAGTTAATTAACTTAGTTATTAAATTAATTAATTTAGTTAATTAACATTAAGGTTTAGCTTCAATAAGAGACTTTAAAAGTTTTTTTTAATAAATTAGAAGTAAAATTATAATATTTTTTTTATACAAAAAAATGCAATGGCATTTTTTTTTCTATTAGTAGTCCATAAACTTTTTTATATTTTTAGAGCTCCTGAATACCAAAAACTATGAAGAAGTAATTGTTTTGTGACTTTCAAATCCGGAGTCCTTTTTGGGACTCCGCATCCGTGTTAGCAGGTAAAGTAAATTGAAAATAACAATAAAAATAATCAAACTAATACAAACTTTATGTAGATATTTAATGAATGTAATATAAATTGAAAAAAAAAAAAAATTAATAATTTTGTATTTAAATACATTTTTTTTATTTAAATACCTAATTTACTAGATATTTAAAATACATCAATTAAATTTAGTTGCTGCCCTCGTGCGGTGAAAGAATCTTACTTTGCCCCCTATATGTCTTTGTTACTTATTTAACTTAAAGTAGCATATTGCAACAAAAGTTCTTTTAACAAACATATTTGACAGAAATCAGCGAGCCAACCAAGTTTTTCAATTAAAAGTTATTAAGATTTTGAAAACTTTCATTTAATTTTCATTCAAGGGGCAACTACCCTCACATTTTTTCAAAAATTTGATTTTTTTTTTTTTTTAATAATTTTAGACCAAAATTTTATGCAGATTTTGAATCTGCAAAAAAAATAAATATTTCTTCATAAGTTTTTGTGTAATATATATATTTTTTAAACTCAAGTACAAAATATTTGCATAGCAACGCATTGCTATGGGGGCCAATATTTTGTTTAGAAACTTATCCTGGAGTACTGTTTCAAATATATGTTTTGATTTATATTTTTTTTGCTATTTAATATTCTGTTCCTTAATATATTCAAACAGGCGATTTACAATTGCTACTTAAATCCAATTTTATCAAGTTATCAAAGCTAATTTATACAACAGCTGTAAAAAAAAAATATTTATTCAAAAATCTGCTTCGTTCATATCACAAATTTACATATTTGGAACAGTTATACAAAATTTCATTGACACTCCTTTACTCATAACTCTTTTTTTTTTTACGGCGTAAACACAGTTTTTGTGGTTCTTTTTAGCTCTTTTTTTTAAGTTGCCATAGCAACAAGATACCATTTTATGTATTTTTTGGTATTTTGAATGTCAGTTTAATATTTACTATATGACTAAAGAAAAAGTTACTTTATATGTGTTGTTTTAAAATTTGATGGTTGCCCCTTAAAAGCTATTGATTTAAATGTTTTTAAACTGTTAAATTTATCTAATGATAAAAATTATAATATAAAATATGATGAACAATACGACATTTGTAAAAAAGTTTTTTAAATATTTTAAAATACTAAAGTATTTAAAAGTTGAAGGTTGTATGAGTCGGGAAAACATGAAGATGGGAGAGAGTTCCAAAGGATTGAAGTGCGGGGAAAAAAACTAGATTAATAAAAGTTTTTAGAGCATGCAGGGACAGATACAGTTAACGAATGAGACTTAGCTGAATGACGAGTAAAACGAGAACGAATTTTAGTTGATGGAACTAGAGATGATAACTCCTTTGAGCAGTGACCATGATAGTATCTGTAGAAAAGAGAAAGAGATGCAACTTTACGACGATGGGAAAGAGGTTCAAGCTTAGCAGATAGTCCAGGTCCAACAACATTTACAATGCGTTTTTGGACCTTGTCAAGAAGAGAAAGTGAATCGTTAGAAGAACCAGCCCAAATATGACAACAGTATTCCATACAGGGACGAATAAGAGATTTGTAGAGGTAGAGAATGGAATCAGAAGTAAGGAAATGGCGAGCACGATAAAGAGAAGCAACCTTAGCAGAAGCTAATTTAGCAATTGATTGTATATATGGTTTCCATGAAAGGTCAGTAGTAAGCGATAATCCAAGAAGACGTAAAGAGGACGACTCAGTAAGAGGATTGCCATTCATTAATATAGGAATGTTGACCATATTACGGTAGTTGTTTGCAGTAAGCAATTGGGTTTTTTTAGAGTTGAAATTCACAAGCCACTGTGAACCCCAATCTATTACTGAGGTGAGATCAGATTCAAGATCAGCTGCTTGTTCTAGGCGATCGAAAAGAGAAGACTTTTTGTCAAGACAGGAGTATAAAGTTGAGTCATCAGCAAAAAGAGCTACTTTAGATGAAAGGTTGTCAGGAAGATCGTTTATGTAGATAAGAAACAAAACAGGGCCCAGGATGGAACCTTGGGGAACCCCAGAAGTTACTGGAAATAAAGAAGAGTGTTGGCCTTCAAGGATGACTTTAATAAACCGGTCAGAAAGAAATGAATTGATAATCTCAAAAACTTTCCCAGAAACACCATATGAAGCATGCTTATGGAGAAGACCAGCATGCCAAACTTTGTCGAAAGCTTTAGATATGTCGAGAGCAATAGCCCTAGCTTCACCGCCTCCATCTAATGCACGATAAAATCTTTCAGTTACAGCAGTTAGCAAGTGGGCCGTAGAGCGAGAGGATCGAAAACCGTATTGATTGTCTGACAGCAGTTTATTTGACTCAAGATGAGATGTGAGGAATTTGTTGATTAAAGACTCAAAGACCTTGCTAATAACAGAATGAAGACTGATCGGACGATAATTGAAGGGTTCAGAATTTTCTCCAGAGTTTAAATTAAAAGAGCGATGAACACAATTGATCTAGATCAAAGTTTCAATGAAATTTAATAATACATTCATTAAAACAGCAAACAATTGTCTTTAGTTCTTGTTTTCTCTCTACTTTACTGCAGCCGTTTTTCAAAGTGTCTTATGTAAAAAAAAAACTTTTGAATACATATTTTTAAAGAGTTCTAAAAAAATTCATAAAAATTATTAGTTTTTAAAAAGCGTTTTACAAAGAGTTTCTCCAAATAATTTTTTTTAATTACGTTTTTCTCGAAATACGTAATAAGCCTATTAAGGCGTTTTGAAAAACGGCTACAGTATATCAAACAAAGAAGAGAAACGATTTAAAAATGAAAACTTTAGAAGATTGCCCATAATGAAAGAAGCTAAATAATTAGAATTAATTATAAAGTAGAAAATAATCCTGCTATAACTATAACACCCAGCAAAAAAGGAACATTTATTTGTATTAAAATTTAATTATATCTAAAAAATGGAAGTATACTCACCTTTTTTTTTTTAGCTGCACCTAAATTCCCAATTTCGCAAAAACGCTGTATAAAATTTTTTCCTGAGTAACACCCTGATAGTATCAGTAAAACTGTTGGAAAGATAGACGACAAGTACAAGAAATAAAAAAAAAAGAAATAAAGTAACAAAAAATGAGAAAACATTAGACAAAAAATTTATTAAAGTTTAAAGAAAAAATTACAGTTAATTTCTGGTCAAACTCTGAATTCATGTTATTACAAACTGTTTTCAATGGTTTCTATAGTTCCTTAAAATATGATTTCTATGGGCCCTTAAATTTTAAGATTAAAAAATAACAATTGTTTTACTTTTTCTAATTCACTTAGTCAGCTGTTTCTCTTGGAAATTTGGGAATTTTACTGCATGTACTTACTTATGAGCTGTGTAGCTATGGTAACCTTACTCTAAAAGCAGTATATATATATATATATATATATATATATATATATATATATATATATATATATATATATATATATATATATATATATATATATGTATATACACTATGCTTTACTCATTAGTATAGCTACCCAGCTAGTGCTTTACAATGGGTCAATGTTGGAACAATATTAACTCAATGTAGCGCACTAGCTACAACAGAAGCATTGGGCCAACAGTGTTTTGATGTTGGTTCAATGTGGTGAGGTAGTTGCGTATGGTATATGCTTATTTAGAAATCTTTAGATTTTGATTTTAATTGGACTAATAATTACTCAATAGTTTTTAGAAATAAGTGACAAGTTATAAGTGACAAGTTTTTCAACAAGTGACAAGAGTAATGACAATATTCTTTCAAAGAAACAATTAAGACTTTTGAGAGTCAACAGGCCTTATTTGAGAGTCAACAAGACAACCCATACAAGTTTATCATACTATTATATATCAACTTAATCAAAACCATGCTGAAATATAATTAAAGGATATGCACATTTTAGATTATGACTGGTAAACCTGTTTTACCAGTATATACCTGTTTACTTGTATTGCTTATTATTTTTAATTCATTTTTCTTTTAGAATAATTTTGAAAAAAAAGTTTTCACAAGAAATTGAAAAAAATTTTATTATAGAAAAAGATAAGATAAAAAACAAAGATTTTGAAAACAATGCATGGAAAAAATCAACTTATATGCAGGTAAAAAACAAAAAAACAAATATAAATAAAGCAAATAATTTAAAATTTTATGTAGCTTTTTTATGACGGTTTGCCCAATTATTTAATTAGCAGCATCGAAGGCACTTTCTGATTAGACAATCGGAAAGCTTATCAGATGTCTGATCAGACAATCAGAAAGTGCCTTCGATGCTGCTGGGGTTCACAACCCTAGCATCACTGAAGGTACACAACAAAAATAAGATAACAAACTAAGTGACAGCATAAACGATTCCTGCTTTATACATTTTCAAAATATTGATACATTCAGTATATTTTCAAAAGAATGATACATTAAAAATTAACTTTTTTAATTTCTTCATACCATTTCTTTGTAAAGCAAGTTAAAGTTATTTTTATTTAAATTTTTTTAAGTGGTATTATTAACTAAAAATAATAAAATAGAATAATGCAATAATATTTTAAAGTCTACAATTTTGAACTTTTTATTAATTTTATAACATTAATCATTTAATAATATTAAGCATTTCATAAAATTTTTATAGAAAAATTCAATTTAAAATATTCAGAAGTTTTGCTTACACACAAACAAAAAAATAAACAAACTTGTTATGTCATAGACAACAATAGCAGCTGAAGAATCACGAATATAACTTGGAATTAAACTTCGAAAACGTTCTTGGCCAGCTGTATCCCAAATCTGTAACCGAACCTAAACATTTATGATTGAAAACATTTAAGTAACTTTGACAGAAATAAACATAAGATAATTAAACAAAAATTATTTTTAATAAACATTTTTATTTATTTATTCATACTCAAGGTTTTAAAAGATTATTCATTTATCTTTGTACTTTTTAATAAACTTTTGTCTTTGTACTTACTATTTTAATAAACTTTTTTTGACTAAAGAATGTTATATAACAATTGCTACTTAAAATTAATTTCTTTTATTTTGAATTTTATTAATTTCTATTATTTTGAATTTAGGACAAATTTTTCAAATCTTTCAGAAACATAGCAAAAAAGTTATTTAGATATTAGATAATTTATATATTATACATATATATCTGTCAGGTCAGGTTATCCTGCTACTGGTAACATGTAACCCAGTACAATCTGCTTCATGCCCTGCTACCTAGTAGGATATGCTTTTTAAGGTGAACGCTAGGAGAAGTTAACTCCAACTTAAAACACCCCCTGCCTTGGGGCTCTTGGTTGAGTAAAGGCTAGAGATAGTGTCTAAACAATACTCATCTTGGCCAGATTAGTGCATACCAGTTAAATGTATCTAGCTACTGTCTTGTAGAAGGCCTCTTAGGCAAAGACTTAAAGGTTAATCTCTTCTTCATCTATTAGGCTGGAGTAGATGTATTCATAATACATTGCTTCCAGTTTAGGATGTTAAATGCTGGATCTTTTTGACTCAATGCATGGTTTTGGTTTTGCTTCTGTTTTTATGACTAGGCAACCCATTCTATTATCTCCTAATGAGGGAACAGCTCTGAAAACCAGTTTATGGTTCTGAGGCTATCTGGTAGTCAGGTTTTCTGAACTCTGTGGTATCTATCAGAGAGGATGATTCCATCAACAGCTGTAAAATATCAGAGTACTAGCAGTCCCATGTTGCGCATGGATGGTGTCCTTGTTTGTATTTTTGGTGTGCATTGTCGAGGACACATTTGGAGCCCTTTGTTACGGTTTAGGTTTTATTATTAGTAATGAGGCCAATTCTTGGACTATTAAATAGTGTACTGAGTAATATCTGTGCTTTAAATCAAGTTCTTTAACACATTTAAAAATGTCTAAAGTATCAAAAACTATAAAACACAAAAAACCATTGTCATCACCAAGTTCTCTATCTGTCACTAATATTCATGGTCTTCAAAGTAACTTTTCTTCTGTTAAGTCTTATCTCTTGCAAAGTTAACCAGACCTACTTGCTCTTTGTGAAACTAATTTGAGTTCGGCTGTCTCATCTTGTAATTTTAGTGTTGATGGTTATCTTCCTTTTATTCGTAGACTCCAATAGTCAAATGCTTGGCCTGGGCATCTACATTCATAATAACTCACCATTAGTTGGGAAACTGGGTTTGAACCCACTGACTATTCTTTTATATGCTTTTGTTTAGCACCACCTCACTCTATTAGTTTTCTCTTTGTTCTTTATCGCTCTCTTTTATCTCAAGACTCTTTTCAATGTTTCTTTTTCTTTATCCTTCAGCCAACATTGTTGTTGATAGTGACTTTAATGTTCATCACACTGAATGACTTGGCTATAGTCTCAGTGACTCAAAACTAAATCCTGCTATTCTCAGGTCATGAAATCTTGTATTTTATCTGAAAAAGTAGGCTTTTATGAGTTCTGAAGAATCTTTAACAGTATCTATAATATTCCACTTCTTTTGTATGGTTCAATTTTATCACCTCACTATCTTGACAATTATAAAAACATCCTTCCTTCTTTTTTTGCTTTTGAAATCACTTTAAAAGCATTCTCCTATTTTTCTTGAAAATAAAAAGTATTTTCTTATTGTAACTAAAGATTGCTACCTTGAATAAAATACTATAAGAAAATATTTCTTATCATTTTGTTATCAAATTTTTATATTTCTTATCAAATTTTTCTTATGATTTTTTATAAAATTTTTTTAATAAAAGTTTTTCTGAACAAACAAACAACTTCAATCTCAAAAATAAAAATAAAAAAAAAAGGCCCCAAAAAAAGTTTGAAAGAAAATATTATTGGCATATATAGATAAAAATATTTATGTAGTCAGAAAACATACATGGTTCAGTCAAATTCTAACAAATTGTTAACATTTGATTATCCTATCCTAAATTTTATTTGCATAGTAACAAAAAAAAATACCTAAAAACTTTATGAGTAATATAATAACATTTCACTCACTGTTCTGTCTTCGAGATACATAGTTTTTGATAAAAAATCTATTCCAATGGTTGCCTAAATCATAAAAAATAAAAATATTTGATAAATAAAAATATTTTGCGAGAAAGCAACTTCATATCATAAACTTTCTCATTACAAGCGAATCATAGCTGAGGTTTCAAGTAAACCTATATAAAATTCTACAAAACATATACATATATGTATTTTTTTATATTGACTCAATTCCGACAAGGCTTCAAGCAACCACTATTAAGTTAAGAAAAAAAGAAATCAAGAAAACAAAATATAGAGTTTTTAGAGCACCAAGGGACAGTAAAAAGACTTTGCTGAATAAGTAGTTGTTATTAAGTTAAAATTCAAAAGCCACTGCAAGCTGTTACCCAAGCCCCTGTTACAGAAGAGAAATCAGATTGGCTGCTTGTTTTAAGTAATAAGAAAAAATAAACAAACTTTTTGTCATGGCAGGTGTATAAAGTTGAATTATCAGCAAAGAGAGCTACTTTAGATTTATGATAAGCTAGTAACAGGCTTGGTCGGGAAGCGGTAGCGATCACTCTCTAATACTGACCATGGAAAATATATTTATTTGCGAAAAACTGGCCAGGTTTTTTAGTCGTTTTGAGAACATTTAAATTTATGTACGAAACAAAAAATTTGTTGTACGGACATACATGGAAACATAAAAAACTTGAATGTTCTCAAAACGTCTTGGTGCGAAAGAATAAAAAGAATATTCGCGAACACTAAAAATCTGCCCAATTAACGAACAAACTAATTCTATTGGTTCAAAAAATATGCTGACTAAGCGCAATAAAATTCTAGAGTATTCTGTTGAAATGTTTTAGAAATTATTCACGATTTTTTACGTTTTTAGATTCCTAGCATAAATTGTTTTATGCTAGAAATCTAAAAACGTAATTGAATATATATTATTTGTTTACGAAAATAAATGTTATAAGTATATATTATTTAAATTGTCAAAATTTTGAAAGTTTATTTTAAATTATAGATTTTATTAGTATATTCTTATTTTTTTTATTTAAAAAGTATGTATTCTTTATGTAAATGTAATTTTGTGTATCCGTTTTTTATCGTAATGTATCTTTTAAAGCAATTTTTATGATTTTAAACAAAGACTTTAAAATAATTGGGTTTTCAATTAAGTTATAATCATTATAGTCAAATCAAAAACTAATTATATAAAAAACATATAAGAAGTTTCTGGTTACTAAACACAAACAACGCATACAAATTAACTCGCGGATGAACAAGCACTGCGCCTGAGGTCACGACAGAACACAAATATATATAGGAAATTATTAGATATGAAGAAAAGTTTCTAGATATTGGTTTACTGACTCTAATTATTTTCTATTAAGTTGCCATTCTTGAAACTCGGTATACTTTTTTCTGCTTTAAATACTAATTAAAATAAAAAAGTCCACTCACTAAACATCATCAGCGATATTGTGAAGCAGTTTCGCTTTCTCGTCATAAAGTATTTTTAACCTTCTTAATTGATTTCTATCTAGTTAATTTAATTTCTATAGTAATTCAATGATTTAATTATTTCATTTGTTTATCTTACAAAAAAGAATAACTTTAAATATGTTAAACTTTTCAAACTACGCGAAACATAAAATAGGTATTAAAAAAATTAACTTTTTTTTTTATAAAAATATTTAGCTTAAATAAAACTAAAACTTACAAACTTTGTTAAATAAAGAATATTTGTTTCCTTTTTAAATAATCGTAAGATGTTACTTTATATAAAAAATATAGCTTAATTTTATAAAAAAAGGTTAAAAGAGCGATGTTTCGAAAATATTTGTTCTAAACGTAATTTATTTAGCTTTAAGTTTTTTCGCATTCAAAGATATTTTATTGGCGGAGGTGTATTTGATTTATGTAGTTAGGGGAGGGTGGCATTTCTTAGTTGGTTTCAATTAGAAAACGGCTAAAATAAATCATTGTTTTAATCACACATGAATTAAATACACCTCTTTTTTTTGTAATTGTTTCTGATCAGTCCAATTAATCTTTTGTGCTTTTTTTTTTGCTTTTTAAAATGTTCTAAAAAATCTGGCCAGCTTTTCGCAACTAAATATTATTTACGTGGTCGGCAATCGAGAGCGATCGATCCCGCTTCCCTATCAAGCCTGAAGTAACCAGGTAAGAAATTTGACCAGGGCCCGGTTTAAAAACAAATAGCCCGAGCTGGGACTGCATTAACATTGATACATCCAAGATATTTTTCAATTCAAAATTTATGTTACATTTTATATCAATCAATCTTATTGACAATCTTCTATCTAGAGTGACTCTATTTGCTGATGACTTTACTTATGTCTTGACAAAAAGTGTTCACTTTTTAAATGATTAGAACAAGCAACTAATCTTTAATCTGATCTCTCTTCTGTAACAGCTTAGGGCTTGCAGTGGCTTGTGGATTTTGGCTTGTCAGTTGGCAAAGTCGCATAATTTTACTGCATCTATCCCTCATTGCTATTAAAAGCTGATTCCTTCTCATATCAACAAAATCTTAACTCTCGCCCATCTTCATGTTTTCCTGACTTATACAACTTACAATTTTTTAAGTCTATTTTTAATTTTTTAGGCTATTATTTAGACTTCTTTTTAACCCCATCTATCCTATTTTTAATCCTTTGTTTTAAGTAACTCAAAACTTAATAGTGCTTGCTTGCAGCAGAAGTAAGAAATTAGTTATTTTAAATAGATATATAAATATATACCAGTATTTAATAAATAGTAAATGTGTGCATAAATTTTTAATATATAAAATATCGTAAATTTTTTTTTAGTCCCAGCTATCAATCACTGCTAAATCTTATAATTTTGGCAAGGCCGGGTTTGTGAAAAGTCCTATTTTAAGCCTGGGCCCAGACCCCGGTCACTTACTATAGAACACTTTGAACACTTTTCTTGTGACAGAAATGGTGTCTCCTTTTTTTTTTTTATTACTCTTATTCAACTCTGTTTAAAAATAAGTTTCAAAAAAAGTGTTTCAAAAATCATTGTTAACACAGATGAAAAGGTGTTTAAATAAATTTTGTTAAATAAATTTTGATTGAACAATGCCCTTTCCTTTTTTAGGAAAGGTGCAAAAAATGTATTATTAACATAGTTAGACTTAATGTTGCAGCTAACCTTCAACCATTGTCACATCATTTTTTACTATTTTTCATTATTAAATTAAGATTTTCAAGCAAATGTTCAGAGAATAAAAAGATAATACCAGGGATACTGTACTATCTTTTAGAATTGCAGTTAGCCAGTATAAACGCTCATCTTTGTCTTTTGGTAAACAATAAATAAGTATGAAGTGAGACAATATTTTTGAGACATACCATATAAAGTAACTTTATTAAAAAAAGCTTAGACAAAGCTCTGTAAAAGGTGTTTATTTAAACACCTTTTCATCTGTGTTAACAATGATTTGACACTTTTACAGAGACGATGGACGATGACATAATGATGGACGATGACACTTTTTACAGAGTTGAATAAGAGTAATATTAAAAAAAAACCATTTCTGTCACAAGAAAAGTGTTCAAAGTGTTCTCCAAGAAAAAAAGAGCTCTCTTCAATTATCTCTAAACTATTTATTAAGAGTACTTTAAATTTCATGCTAATTTATGCAATTGCAAAGACTGCCTTGAGGCAATTTCATTTTGTTATTATTGTTAGCCTCAGAAGCATGTTGAGATCAAACTTAAAACTTCTAATTATTGCAGTAGTGGTAGAGTGCTTATTTTACAAAATGAGCACTCTACCATTACTGCAATTAACACTTTTTAAAGCAAAAGAAGCCTTGTATATATATATATATATATATATATATATATATATATATATATATATATATATATATATATATATATATATATATATATATATATATATATATATATAAATACCATTATTACTCAAAATTTTAAATTCAAAATAACAAAAAAAGTGTTGACAAAAAGTGTGAAAAAACATATGTATATGTAACATATTTTCAAATATGCAGGGAATTATTTAAATTTATAATTAACAAGCATACCTGATACGTGCTATCAAAGCTATCATACATAAACCTTGTAATGAGCGAAGTTTTGCCAACTAAATATATGTAAACTATATATTACAATTACGAAAATATATTTTCTGTGGTTTAAAAGTCATCAATCCTGCATCAACCTTACATGTCAACTTTATATAAATCAGACATGTCATTTTTAGAGCTAAAACAAAGACTGTCACGTAAATTGCCTAGGAATTAAGTTCTATATTATCAAGGTCTACTGAACAAAACTAGACTCTTACTTTGTCTTTCTAACAATTGATCAAATTATGCACTTATATATAAAATACTTTCATAATTTTTAAAACATAAATTTTATAACAGAAGATATTAAAATAGTTTTTGAAATTTTTTTTGGAATGATATATCAATACAGTTATATTTAATTACTTGTACAAGGGGAGTGATAGTTTCCACTATTTCCATGGCCTAATGTTTAAAATTAATATAAATTAATAATGAAAAAATATTTCTAAAATACAATTTTAAAATGAAATGAAAAATAATATATTTTTATGTTTTTTAAAATGCTTTACTTACACAATTTTTTTTTGAACAACTAATGTTATGGTTGTTTAAAAAAAAATAACTTAATAGAAATGTAAAATTGTAAAATTGAAATTTGTCAATATATTACTGCGTAACTAGATTTCAACAAATATATTAAATGCAAGCCAAAGATTTTTTTAATTTAAAAGTTATACTTAAATTTAAAATTTAAATACTTAAACTTAAAATTTAAACTTAATTTCTAAACTTTTTTTTAATGATATTAAGAATTTTACTGTTATTCCCTTTTTAGCTAGTAAATGAATAATCAATAAATTAAATATAAAAAAATGTGACAGAAAAATTCTCTACATGTGAACAGTAAAATTTACATCATTTTAAAACTTTCACAAGAAAATCATGTATAAACCATGGGTTTATAATTCTGAAGCAAATAAAAAAAGCAGTAAAAACTGATGAAGATTTTTCCTTAGAGAAACAGTGGTACCTCAATATAATCACTTAATATTTCAGTCAAATCGAAAAGTCTTTCAAATTACAGCAAAATGCCAAACAATAACATGAACAAAGACCATAATTATTTTAATGTATGAAATTAAACAAAAAAATGTTTAGTGACTGTGGTGTGGTCAAAAAACAAACTTTTTTGGCTCAAAAACAACCGATCAAATATAAATACAATAATTCTAGATTCCCAAATATTTGTTATTTTTGCAATTGTTATTTTTCAAATACAAATATTTCTATTTTAGCTTAGAAAAAAATACATTTTTTTAAAACAATACTAATAAAATAATATAGTAAATAGAAGAATGAAGACAAGTTTTTTAACAAATCTGTTAAAAACTTATTTTAAAATTTTTTAAATGTAAAAAAAAAAAAAAAAAAATTCTTTGTTTTTCCAAAAAAAAAACACCCTAGTTTATGGAACTATAAATACATTTTAATCAAATACAAACATTTAAAAAATTTTTAAAGTTAAATACAATACAAACGCATATTTGACCCCACCTCATGTTAGTGACCATAAGGTTAGGCACCTCCTGTTAGTGACCATAAAGTGCAAACACCACAAGAAGAAAAAAGTTATCTAACTACTTTGAAGTTTCTGAGAATCTTGTTCAAACTTCAGTTCAACACATAGCAAAGGATATTATCATTGCCAGGGAAAAAAAAATCAGAAATCCTATTTTACCAAAAACTGTTAAATAGTAATTAACTATTATTAAAGTGATATTTTTCAAGAAGCCAGGAGAAAAACTTTTGCTAGTAAGTAAAAACTAAAGAAAAAACACTCAATCTTAATAAATTATTTTTGCATTTAAAAAATAATAATGTCAAAGTTTATTTGTCAAAGTTTTGCATGCTAAAACCTAAGTGGTACATTACAAGTAAGGTAGTAGGTACTTATAATGTATATCTATGTATAAGTCACCTAAACACAAAACCATTTCATTAATACAATTAATTATAAAGATTTTTTGGATTTGATTGTTTCCTCTCTAAAAAAAAAAAAAAGTCTCATATATGATATATGAGGTATCTCATATATAAAGTATACATCATCAGGTTTGAACAGGAATGGCATGCAACTGCACATTGTAACAGATTACACTATAATTTTTTTTTACTTGACAATTTGACCAAGGCTGTTTTGATGTTTTAACAATTTAAATGCAATAAAAAAATTGTTTTGTTATGAATACCTTTTAATTATTGATGTTTTCTAAATGTTTTATTTTATATAACAATTTTAAATGAAATAAAAAATTATAATGATTATTTAAAATAAACGCTTTTTGTATAAATTTAAAAAAAATGCTATATATAAAATTTTTTTATGAAGGCATGTATTTTTTATGAGAAATTTAAAGGTTAGAAACTATTTTTCAATATCTTTCTAAAAATCTTTCAGGCATTTTTTTTTAAGGGTTTATTTTTTTAAAGAATTTTTTTTAAGTTAATTTAAATTATGAATAAGTTCAAAACTATTTGGGATTAGTTGCTTAAAACAAATGTGTATAATATTTTGTATAAGTTATAGTAGTACAACCTGCTTTGAGTCGTGCTGCCTTGTAGGATACGCTATTATAGGCAAAATCTAGAAGAAGCTAACTCCAACTTAAAACACCCCCTATCTTGGGGCCCTTGGTTAAGCAAAGGCTAGAGAAAGTGTCTCAATAAAAATACTCATCTTCAGCACATGTTAAATGCATCCGGCTACTGTTTTGTAGAAGGCCTCCTAAGCAAAAACTCAAAGGGTAAAAAATTTTTATCTATTGACCAGGCTCGCATCCCTACTTCATCTATTAGGCTGGTGTAGATGTACTTATAACACATTATTTCCAGTTTAGGATATTGAAAGCTGGATCTTTTCAATTTTTATGACTAGGCAACTTATTCAACTATCATCTAATGAGGGTCAGCTTTAAAACTCAGCTTTATGGTTCTGAGGCTGGATGGTAGTCAGGTTTCCTGAACTTAGTGGTATCTTTCAGAAAGGCTGATTTCGTCAACAGCTGTAGACTTACATAGAAGACTATTCTTTTATATGCTTTCATTCAGCACAACTTCACTCTAATGCCTTTCTTATTCTATTCTATATCACTCTCCTTCATCTCAAGACTGTACTTTTCAAAGTTATTTCTGATCAAACTGACCAAGCCTTTTCCTTTATCTTTCAGCCAATGTTGCTGTTTTTAGTGACTTTAATGCTCATCACACTGAATGACTTGGCTCTAAACTTGGCTTGCCAGGGTTCGGCTCGGCTCGCTTACATATTAAGAGTGTTCAGGCTAGGCTCGAGCTCGTTTCGAACATGAGATTTTTTGTTCGAGCTCGGCTCGTTAAGGATTAGTATTGTTTGAACTCGGCTCGTTTTACATGTTGCTCGAGCTCGACTGGTTTAAAACTCAAAATAATTATTGTAACCTGTTTAAAGTTTAAAGCTCGTTTAGTAAAAAAAAATTATTCGTTAAAGGTCGTCTATAAATAATGCAAGTCCAAACAACATAAACAATCCTACAGTCTATTAAACATGCAAATAAACAACATAATGAAATAAGATCCCACAAATCTAATAGTTCAAAATAAACGTTAAATCTAATAGTTCAATGTTCAAACTTAATGATCAAAGTTCAAACATAATGTAAACTCAAAGTTTATATATTTCAAAGTTCAAACATAATGTAAAATAAAATATATTATCACGAAACATTTGGTTGTGCAACTTGAAAAAATACCTCTCTACAAGTTAAAAAATGGTTCCTTCAACAAAATCAATGAGAAAAGAGTTTGAAAAAAAAGTTTTATATATTTACTTTTCTGTTTTGCATAATTTGTACACTCTTAAATCCATTAAAAATGGTCTAAAACATATTGGGCCTGTTGGCAAATGACAATAGTCAATAGCAGCCTCACGTAATTAAATTATTTATATTAATCAATTATTTAGTGTAATAAGAGTTGTATGGGTCATATCTCATATGGTTACACTAACACTATATTTTTATTATATACTAATATATATAATATCGCAATTTTATTTATTACATATATTTTTTTTTTTTTTTTTTTTTAACATCTTCACTTTCAACAAGGCTGCAAGCAACCACTATAAGAGTTGGAAGTTACTGGAAGAGAAAAGACTAAATCTGTAGAGCAAGATAACGATTGACTGATGACTTAAAAGATTGCAAATTATATGAATCAGGAAAGCAAGATGAAGGAAGCGAATTCCAAAGAACTGATGTTCGAGGAAAAAAACTAGAAGAATAAGAGTTTTTGAAGCACTTAGGAACAGTCACAGAAAAAGGATGAGACTTAATTGAATGGCGAGTAACACGAGAATGAATTTTAGTAGATGGCACAAGGGACGCTAGCTCCTTAGAGCAGTGCCCATTATAGTATTTGTAGAAAAGAGAAAGAGAAGCAACATTACGACGATGTGACAAAGGTTGGAGATTGGCTGCCAGAGCAGGTCCAACTATGTTTACAATTCGTTTTTGCACCTTGTCTAAAAGAGAAAGAGCATCATTAGAAGATCCGCCCCAGATGTGGCAACAGTATTCCATACAGGGACGGATTTGAGATTTATAGAGATAGAGAATAGAATCTGGAGTAAGAAAGTGTCGAGCTCGATAAAGAGATGCAACCTTAGCAGATGCTAATTTTGCAATGGATTTGATATACGGTTTAAAAGAAAGATCAGAAGTAAGAGTTAATCCTAGAAAATGAATGGTAGATGACTCATCTAGTACATTACCATTCATAAATATAGGAAGATCTAAATTATTACGATAACGATTGGCCGAATAAAATTGAGTTTTATCTGAATTAAAGTTCACCAGTCACTGTGAGCCCCATGCTGTAGCAGAAGTGAGATCCTTTTCAAGCTCAGATACCCCCTCCAAGCAATCAGAGAGTGTAGGCTTCTTATCATGACAAGAGTAAATGGTAGTGTCGTCAGCGAATAATGCCACCTTAGATGTGAGAATATCTGGAAGATCGTTAATGTAAATTAAAAAGA